CCAGATTGATTGGTCTTTGAATCAGGCTCGCTCAATTAGGTATGTTTTTGCTATGTGCTTTCCACTCCACCGTCCCCAAAGACAAAAAGAAAAAAAAAAGAAAAAAAAGGAAGAAATCATTTTAAGCTCAAATTTATTTTTTTAATGAAATCATTTAATAGATTAACTTAATCAATTTGATTTTATAAATCTCAATATCTTAGTCCTTCCACCGCATCTACATACATTTTTATTTTATTTTATTTTATCATCTATATAAAATCAGATTAATAGAAAACGGTTAGATTAATTAGTAAGTTCTAAAAATGTGAGATGTTATTACCATTTCCTCTAGTTATTTTATGAAATATATGTGATAGTAAGTGGTGAATTAATGCATCATTTCAGGACTAACCTTACAGCAAGTGGACCAAGACCGAACCCGCAAGGATCGTACCATTACGGTCTGATAAACACGACCAGGACCATCGTACTAGCGAGTTCCGCTGGTCAAGTGAATGGGAAGCAAAGATACGCAATTAACAGCGTGTCTTATGTTGCCCCAGACACCCCTCTTAAGCTCGCCGATTACTTCAAAATCTCGGGTGTTTTCCGCGCGGGAAGCGTATCTGACAGACCCACTGGTGGTGGCATCTACCTTGACACATCCGTTTTACAAACTGACTACAGAACTTTTGTGGAGATTGTCTTCCAAAACAACGAGAACATTGTTCAGAGCTATCATCTTGATGGCTACTCTTTCTTTGTGGTTGGGTAAGCACTTGCAACTTTGCATATTTAAATTCAAGTACAAGTATATTTGATTGGTTGTAAACACCAAATGATAAAAATGACTTCTCAAAATATGTTTCCGTATTCAATCAGGTACATAATCAACTTAGAATATATAAGTAAGAGACCATCTCATCTCAATAGTTAGTATTGCTTTTAGGATTAAATTATAGAAACAGTATTGCATTGCACATTTCATGTTAGTAGGTGATATGGCCAAAATATTATATATAATAAGTAAGGGATAATTCTAAACTAATGGACTAACTTTTGGAGTTGTGTTAAACCAAACATTTATTTTTTGAATAGCTTACATGTGTGATTAAAATGTGGTGATTTTGTAGAAGAAAATTGGTATTTCCCCCTCTCTGATTATCAACATCATATAGCAGCATTAGTGATAGTTTTTGTTTGGCGTAAATGATTTAAACGTTTATGTAATTGTTGGTGAACTATTTATGTAGTATGGATGGAGGACAGTGGACACCTGGTAGCAGGAACCAGTACAATCTCCGAGATGCAGTTTCACGTTGCACTACACAGGTGAGAGTGAGGCATTGTTCTTGGCCATGTTCTTTTGTGTGGCCTAATAACAGTGTTGTTGACGTCATTTACTTCTGACTACTTATATGGTGGTTTAAATCAGAAGAAGAACTAAAGGAAGCTTGGACTTTTTATTTTGTTCAGGTATATCCAATGTCATGGACTGCTATCTATGTTGCCCTTGACAATGTGGGAATGTGGAACTTGAGGTCTGAGTTTTGGGCACGACAATACCTTGGACAACAGTTATATTTGCGCGTTTATACATCATCAACCTCAATCAGAGACGAGTTCCCTGTTCCAAAGAATGCAATTCTTTGCGGTAGGGCAAGTGGGAGACACACGCGACCACTCTAAAGTTTCTAGCTTTTAGCATATGAAAAGAAGTTATCTACTAATGATTTCATTGTTGAGTGCTTTCGTTTATTTATGGTATGCTCCAGTGAGATGATGAATATGTATGAATTTAGCCCTAAATGACCCCACCTCGAGGTCGCATTAATTCTTTCCCAGAGAAATATAGAGAGAAACATGTTATATTCCCTTTGTAATATCTCGGATTTTACATTTAATGTTATTGAGGTGAATCTGATATACAACTTGACTTGGCAGGTTCTACTATTCATTTCATTGTTGTACCATTGCAGAATTTTTTTATTTCAATTGTTACGAACATATGACTTTTTTTTACTAAAATAATATTATTATACTATATATAAATATTATTATATTATATATATACGTAATAGAAATTTTGATGAAAATGAAGTGAATCTCTCATCAAATTATTTACTTAAGTGAACCTCTCATGAAATTATTTACTTAACTCGAAACTCTTTTACTTTAGAATTCGGTTTCTCGTAAATCGAATTCTAACTTTAAACTTATCACTTTTTTTTAAATAAAATATATAATTAAAAATAATCAATTTAATATTAAAAATAAAATTTTAACTTTAAAATTTAAATAATATTTATATAAAAATAATAAAATAATATATTATTTAAATATATATTAAATTATTTAAATATATTTAAATAATTATTAAAAATATTAAATAATAATTTTTTATTATATTTTTTTTAATAGGAAATTTAAAATTTATATATTTTTTTTATTATATGAATTATTTAAGTTATAATTTTAGAAAAAAATTGATAAATTTAATATATAAAATATTTAAAGTAAAATTAAAAATAAGTTATTAGTAGCAAAATAAAAATTATAGAACATGTTATTGAAGAAAAATAATAAAGGTAGAAATATTTTTATAGAGTGAAAATAATAGAGGTTTATGAAGAAGAAAATCCTCCACCAATTTCTCCTGAAATTCAAGAACAACCACATCGACAAAATCCAAAACGTAATAGACGTCATCCTCGTTGTGGAACTGGACACCACTTTTGAGATTAAAAATTTCTTAACATTATTGTGAATAATTTTATTTTTTAATTTTTATTATGAATGATTATGTTATTTTTAATATTATACATTAAATTCTGTCAATTTTTATTATTTTTTATTTTTAAGTTTATTTTATATTATTAATAATAATTTTTAACTAATTAAATAATATTTTTACTTTATTATTTAAAAAAATTAATTTTAGCATGAATTTTTTAATATAATATTTATAATTTATCAAATAAAAACTATGACATAAATTTTTATAATATAATATTTAATTTTTTAATATATTACCTAAATTAAATTTTTATTTATTCTATTTTTTTCTAAAATTATAACTTAAATAATTCATATAATAAAAAAATATATAAATTTTAAATTTCTTATTCAAAAATAAAAAAATATATAAAAAGTTATAATAAAAAATTATTATTTAATATTTTTAATAATTATTTAAATATATTTAAATAATTTAATATATATTTAAATAATATATTATTTTTATTATTTTTTATATAAATATTATTTAAATTTTTAAATTAAAATTTTATTTTTAATATTAATTTTATTAATTTTAATTATATATTTTATTTAAATTTTTTATTTAAAAAAATGGTAAGTTTAAAGTTGGAATTCGGGTTAGAGAAAATTTAATTCCAAGTAAAACAAGATATTCAATTAAATAAATAATTTGATGAGAGGTTTAGTTTACTAATTTGATCATAAATTCTGTTTTATATATATATATATATATATATATATAATATAATAATATTATTTTAGTATATAAGTCACGAACATATACCATAAATTTATCATATATTAACCAATTAAAAGATATTGTGGCGTTTCATTTCAAGAACTATCTTGTCTTGGAAGCTCATCAGATCTTTGTGATTCTGTTTAATTTTTTATTTGTATCTTTAATATTATTATTCACATGAAATAATTTTATTAAAATATTAGACTTTTTTAATCTTATTTTGGATATTAAGAGTGATAATAATCAAGTTTTTTCTTTATAACTTTGGGTTATTATTTCTATTATTATTATTATATTATTATTATTATATGATTGTGTAATAAATAAGAAATAGTTTTTTTTTCAATTTAAACATTATATTTAATGTTGTTCTTTAGATTATTTGATTTTTTTATTTAATCATAGTACTGTTATAATTACTAATTAAATAATATTGTATGAACTCAATTATAGTCGATAATAGAACACAATCGAATTGTCCATGGTTTATATATATATTAAATCATAATCGAATACATCTCTTCAGTGAAACAAGAAAATAAGATTAAAAAGCTATAAAAGACCAAGTCAAAGTTCAACTTTCAAGGAGATAATTTGGAAATTTAAAATAAATAAATTTTTGCCTAACAACAAATACTGGGCTCTCTTATTATCCAGATCAATATAAACCGACTCTGTTTCTAACTTCTTTCCAAGACTAATTTCATATACGTGTTTGGAAAAAAGTATTTTAAAATAATATTGAAGAAAAATGAAAAACTTAAATTGAAAATAAATATTTTTTCATTTAAATGAAGAGTTTGTAAAATGTAAGTAATTTAATGGAAATAGAAAAATGAATTATTTTTTCTGAGTAAAATGTTTAAAAATAATTATTTGATATAAATGTTCAGTTTAAATATGTTCTTTTTCCTATGAATTATGGATTTTTTTTAATTTTTTTAAATAGTATATAAATGACTTGATAATTTACAATAGATTATGATTTTGATTGGATTTTTTTATTTATTATTATTTTTAGTGCCAAAATATTATCTACAACACTTTATTTTACGATTTCACGAGTGCTATCATAATAATTTTCGATGCAAAATAAATTGAAAACTATTTAAACAAAAAATATTTGACAAAATAAAAACAACAAATATATTTACGTTTAATTTCTTATATTTTAATCCTACATCCAAACTTGAAACGCCACCTCTTGATTTTTTACATCTATTTTTTTTTTTTTTCTGACTACGACTAATTATCATGCATTGTCCAGTTCAAACATAGCTTGTTGAAAGTCCAAATACATTAAATGCATTACAATCAACCAAGGGTACCAATTTTTTCATCTTTCTCTTTTCTTGGATCGTAGGTGGTTTTGGAGAAGCTTATCTGCGAAAGCACGCAAACACTGAGTAATTTCCTTTCGGTCAATTTAATTTCGCATCTAACCATATCCAAATACTAATTATATTAATCGATTCCGAGCTTAATTTTGGGTCTCCACTCAATCATTGAAGGCTAGATGGCGAGTTCATCACGGTTCGACCCAGCGCTTGCGATTTCTCACAAATTCCCTGATGTAATATTCCTAACCCTAATTTTATTTTTTTTAATTCGCTACTTTTCTTTTTTCTTTACACCGAACTGAATTCTGAATTTCTGTTATCTCTGCAGACTACGTACTCTTATACCGAGAGGTGAGGCGTTATGTAAGGCAATATTTCAATTACAATTGATATTCAAATGCGCATATTCTCTCATTTGAGTTTGGCATAAAAGGAGAATTGTGAATGAACATGCTCTGATATGTGTTGAACAGGGATGCAGCACTTTATGCCTTAGGCGTAGGGGTGTGTTTATCAGATGCTGTTGATGCTGATGAGCTTAAATATGTTTACCATGAAAATGGTCAGGAGTTTATCAAGGTATTATTTATTTTAAAATTGGCATAAAAAAATGTTTGGTTTGTTTTAACCTATTTTTTACAGTAAAATTTTCTGTTGACAACCCAAACAACTCCCCTACAACTAATTGTATTAATAAAATACTAATAATATTATTATATTAATTGATTTTGTTGTATTTTCGATGTTTGGGGTGTCAATTAATCATCGCTCTTTTTCACATGAGTGTGTTCCTTTGTTGACCACTCGTAGTGAATTTGTGGGAGAAGACTTGAGTTTGATTCTTGCATAATACATCCTTAAGAATGGGCAACAGGATGGAGGGTTAACTATATACGCTTAAAGATTAAAACTCTTTGGAGTCTCAATGATGAATAGTTAAAGACCTTTACTCTATTAGTTATCAAACAAAAGAAAAAAATGACGATTAACTTATTTCTTCACCAATAACATCTGCAAAATTATTGCTAAGATTTCACTTAGGTGTTTACCAGAAGACGGTTGGAAGTTTTTTTGGGTATTGTTATTTTTGGGGTGCTCTTGGTAAATGATCAGTGTAACACAGTTTACTTTGACCCAAACCTAACACTAAGAAATTGCTACTAATTCATTCTGTTCAGGCAGTCACTGGTGACATGTAATTGTAAAATATTTCCAACTTATGCATAATTTTCTGCTTTACAGGTCTTGCCTACGTTTGCTACTCTGTTTATACGTAATTCTGGGCCGAGTGTTTTTAATCTCCCTGGCTTGGAGTGAGTTCTGCTTAGTCTTGATGTACTGTTAATGTATAATCCCCGTAGCTTTTGTTTTATTGGTGAATGTACAATTACTTCGATTTTATCCTCCATCTTCTTTATGATGATCTTCTTTGTTTCTCCCTTTTGATACTTAACAAAAGTAAATCTTTATGTGTGCTAGATATGATCCCCGTCTTCTACTTCATGGACAACAATACATAGAATTGTACAAACCATTTCCTTCCAGCTGCCATGTAAGGTTTTTCCATTAGAAATTATACTGGACATTTAGATTGAAAGGATCAACTTATGATATATTATTCTAATTTTAGCTCTGCACCAACACGTCTGATGATATTTGCTGGAAAATAAAACTAATGGTAGATGTGAATGAAATTTTACTCGATCAATTATTATAGCCCAGAGAATTTTAAGCATCTGACAGTGACGTATCTTTTTTACCCATATGTGTAATAGATATGTTAGCTTCCTGACATTTCATTCCTATGCAACTTACAGTAAAAAAAAAAATTGTAGAGAAAAGCATTACTTCAGAAGAATGGCCTTTTGATTTTGGTTTAATTTAATTGAGAAAGAAAGAACACATGTGAATTACAGATGAAGAATGAGTTCTCTCTCTCTCTCTCTCTCTAAGTTGTGTTGGATTCATTTTAACATGAACACCCCTCTGATTTCTTCCCATCTCCAACATGACCTTTACAATCGTAATACTAAACATAGATCATTGTGATTTTCATCAGTATGCTAAGGCTCACTTTCCATGATCATGATTGTCTCTCTTATTCATTGTAGATAGACTCATGATATATTATTCTTGTTACAGATGCACAATAAAATCAGCCTTGCTGGATTACATGATAAAGGTTGAATTGCAAATAAGTTTCTACTTAATGATCTGTTGTGCGCATGTTTATTTTGCAGTTCCACTTTCACATCTTCAGAAAATGTATATCTTTATGCATGTGTGTCAATATTTTTTATTCCGTAAGATTGGATGTCTTTAATTTCAGGCAAAGCAGCAATTTTGGAGATTGAAACAAAAAGCTATGAGAAAGAGTCTGGTGATTTATTATGCATGAACAGGTAATGCTTAAAACATTCCTTTTAATGTTTTGTCATCATCACACTCAACTTGCTAGTTGCTTGCAGGACAACTGTCTTTCTACGTGGTGCCGGTGGCTTCTCAAAGTCATCAAAGCCATTTTCTTATACAAACTACCCCTCAAATCAGACTTCAGCTGTGAAAATTCCTGAAAGTAAACCATTTTCGGTGTTTGAGGATTGTACCAAACCATCTCAGGCATGTTATGACTGTACAAATATAGTTTGGAATGGATTTTTCATTTCTGAACTTGCATCTCTATTTTGACCCTTCCATCATTTACTTGTATGTGCTCTGTTATTTTCTGTGACATATTTGGAGAGCAATTTAGGATACGTATGATGTATCTTCAATTCTGAACCAATTTGCCCACATATAATAACATCTTAAATACAAATTACATGACATGTTATCCCCTCTACCTAAACATTGACGATGATTCAGCCTATTAGCTTCAAGCCATGTGTCTTACATATTTGATTGTCCACTGTCTTTGACCACATCAGTCATTCAAATGCCTTGAACTCTAATGATTTCAGTAAAGCAATAGAGGGGACCAGATAATTGAGCATATGGAACAAAAGGGAATTCCATTTAATAAAGAATACAGCAATCCTAATAACCCGAGCAGAAAACCAACAAGCCAGAGTATAACCTGAACCATCGCCTCCCTTTTCCACAACTTGAGCAGCCAGATTTTTTTTTCCATCATTATGATCAGAATACAAGGCATGTGGTGGTTTCCAGAGGACCAATCGTCAGAGTCAAGCTCAACCGCTCAAGCTATGAACAGAGCACTCTGACACAAAGGAAGTCAACAGAAAAGTTTTGTGGATTGAATTGGAAGAGGGAAATAATGGCACATGGAAGATGGATGTGGTTGCTGGCAATGGTCTCGGAATTGTTGGCTTACAGTGATGGTTTGACAGATAATAATAGTCTTCCAGCAGCTGAGGTGTGTGATGGGAAGGAAACTTGGGTGGTCATTGATTTTTTGTGGTTAGGCTGTTAGGAGTGTGGTTGCTGTCTGGGTGTGGTAGAGTAATGGAGGTTGGGGTAACTTGGGCCGAGAGATGGTCTCTGCATGGTGATGGATAGTATCAGTGATCTGGTTGTGGCTTAAAGGTAATGGAACTCTGACGTAAGAGGTGTCATATTTTCACAATTTCATCAGAGAAGGACAAGGGAGAAAAAAACCTCAGTACCTTTTCTCCAAACTACTTTTTATTTTTCTTCATTAAAAGCAAGCTTACAGTTTAGAGCTTTTATTTAAAGAATGTTTGACCTTATTCCTTTGAGAAGTGAATTCCAAAAGAGTTATACTGTCAAAATAAGGAGAGGACATGGGAAGTGTAATTTATAAGGGAATAAACAGTTAGATTGGCGGTAAATAGGACTCACTGTAAAGTGGAGTGCACAACAATTGTAAGTGACCCAAGTGCTAGGAAGGAAGGGGCCACCCTTGTGAAATAAAGACATAGAGTTCTCCCTCCCTGTTCACATGATTATTTAATAGCAGAACTCATTTCTTATCCTATCTTCCATTCTTGTTTCTCTACTGTCTATTCTTCACTAGTCCAACACTCTGACGAGATTCTTGAATCCTAACACATCTTTGAAAACTTTTGATATGACTCGTTAGAAATTCTACACAGACTCTGAACGTTCTTGACTTTGGCAGGCATTGCTCTATAGGCTATCTGGTGACTATAATCCTCTGCATTCAGATCCCATGATTGCAAAGGTTGCCGGGTTAGTATTCTATCCTGTCTTCTGAATGCCGGCTGATTGTTAAATACTTGATGCTTCGAAGTAGATGTCTCTTTGCCACTTTCATTGGGGTGTGTGCATAGTTAAATGAGAATTTTCCTCCCTTTTCAGCCATGGAGTTAAATACAGAGTTGTAGAATAGTAGTTACGTAGCATTTTATGATATTATTCCATCAGTTTTGTGGTCATTTTCTTTCATATGGATTTTTAATCAATTGTTCGGCTAATCTAATTCTGCTTTTTAACTTGTTGCCATAGATTCTCGCAGCCAATATTGCATGGGCTGTGCACATTAGGATTTGCAGTTAGGGCAATCATCAAATGCATATGCAGAGGAGACCAAGATTTGATAAAAAGCATAGCCGGCAGATTTCTTCTACATGTCTACCCTGGTGAAACTCTGGTTACTGAGATGTGGCTTGAAGGCTTAAGGTAGAATCACTATTTGCTTCATTAATAACAATATTTTCTTGCAATATCGATTTACATCTATTCAAAATCTTGGGGAATTGGGATTGGAATTGAAAATTGAAATTGTGCAGGGTAATATATCGGACTAAGGTGAAAGAGCGAATGCGAACAGTCCTTTCTGGCTACGTTGATCTGCGTGGTTTAACTTCGTCACTGTGAAAGTATTCAATTACATATAGGCTGGTCCATAATATTCGCAGAGTATTTTCCATTATTTATGTGTTCAATAAACCAATAATGCCATGATGCACTGGAGTTCATTTTAGAACCTAATAACCATAGATTATTAAAATTTAAAAATTAGGTATCGATGTTGAATTGTAAGATGTTTTTTACATGAACTTAACATACAGGAGAAAAAAAATAATTTAAAAAAGCGTACTTATATTTTAGTTGAATATCAATTAATTGAAAAGGTCGTAGAAAAAAACAACTCATCAACGTCCATAGTAAGTAATAGTGATTGTAGTTTAGTTATTTGTAATTCGTTTCTACATCATGATTTAAACAAAAAATACAAAATAGGCTTAAAAACGGGTTTGATAAAAATGGTCTATCCTTTTTTTCTCTCATTCACCAATATATTTTTAAGTGCATTAGTTTTCTTTTTAACAATTTGTTTTGACAAGTATCAAGGTACGCACAACAACCATATACCCCAACCCCTCAGGATGCATAAACGGATGTAACATCGTCAACCCGCATGATATCGATCTTTATACCTGCAGGAATCACAGGATAGGTACGGCCCCGTGACACAGGCACCACAACCCCTACTCCAAGAAACAAGATAGGTTTGATAGATCACGGAACCTTTCACTTGTCGCTTTCTTTTTCACTTGAGACTTCGTAGTTTTGAAGAATATAAAAATTATGAGTTACTTATGGATCTTTTAAAGTACTGGTTAAATTAAATGTTTATTTTATTTAAAATACTATGACAATCTACTAAAAATCATAGAAGAAACACATTTCTATAAAAAGTTTTTCACTCTTAATACCCCATACATTAAGTGCATTAACTATCATTTGTCTTAACTTTTTATATGTTATTATAGACATACAACGTACAACTTTTCCTCTTGAATGTGGTTTTCCACTAAATATTGCGCAGTTTTTTAGAAACATTTATTATAAAATAAAAACAAAAGCTTAACAAAGAGCAACAGCACTGCTATAATAATAACTTTAATTCCTTGTATACCATAAAAATTCCTTAAGAATCAATATCTCGGAAACAAATGTTTTTTTATGTGAACCTAATGCCAATTAAATAATTGAAAAATCCATTGGGTGTAACAGTACCTTAAAATCTAACACCCATTGACCAATTCTCTGACAATCTCATGTTCAAGGTAATATCTTGGTAGAATTGAACAACAGAGAAATAAAATAGTTTAAGGGTATCATCTGAAATAAACAATCCATTGTAATTGTTGTCTCTAACCTGTGACTGAGGGGGTTCTATTCGATCCAATGCACTTCTAACATTTTAGCCATAAAACTGTACCGGTCAGCAGCTTCATCGATCTGGAAAATATATATTCAACTTGAGACGGGATATAACAAAACTGAGAAGGGAGAAACAACTTGGGTCCAAAATCGTTACCATTTTCTGTGTTGGACGTCCAGCCCCATGTCCAGATTTGCAGTCAATGCGACCAATTATAGGGTTTGTCTGGGGACTTTCTTCCAAACTAGTACAAAGGACATGCTGCATGGTCTGGAAAATATTGAAAATGTGTTAAAAGGCTGCAGGACTATCAACGTGAGTTTCTTGTGAGAGTGAAACATATCCCCTATATGCACAATTTGGCAATTAATTTATGAATTTATCTGGACAAAATATAAACACTTTTAAGAGGGGAAAAGAATCTTATAAGCTAAAGTTAACTTATATACAAAGTTTCTTCAAATTTCTCTAAAAAATTATTTATAACTAATGCATAAGTTAATTCTAACCTAAAAGAAAAATTTATTTTATATTCTCTCCTACTAGAATGTTTCCGGAGAAGATAATCCGGACAAATCTTCTAAGCACTAATTTCGTAGCTTGCAAGACAACTCAATAAATAGAAGTTAACTTGTGTCTACAATATATGCATGTACTCATAAGAAGCAGACTAACCGCTAATAACTTCAATGTATGCAGTGGCACAACACGATCATCATGATCAGCTGTCAACAGCATGGTTGATGGGTACTGAATAGTCTGATCAGGATGTTGTTCCCACAGTCTCCGGACATTATGTAGTGGTGAGTATCTAGAGCAGTGGATAATAGAAACGTCATATTTTCAACACAAAAGCTACATATATCCAAACATTAGAAAATCACGAGTTCAGAACCTAGTGTGACAAATATTTTTTTATTCAATTCCACTTTGTATAAAATACTATTTGGTCTTACTTTCTCTTCAAGAGCCTTGTATAAAATATGAGAATATAATGAAAATACTCAACTTCAACAAACCAGGAAGAAACCATATATATTCATTTTTTACATTTATAGATGTCCTTATTCTTTCTTGTTACAATCATCTCTGATAATCTATTAAATGACAAAGGCACAAGGAAACAACGTCATCCTATATGAAAGTATATCATAAATCTAAATCTAATGCCTCTATCTTTCCAGTAAAAATCACAACTTTCCTTACCTAAGGAAGCGCATGTGATGTGCACTGTGTAGCTTACGAATTATATGGAAGAAAAGAATGATCAACTGGAAACTAATTTGAAATGGAACAAGTGGTGATAGCATGAGACTAGTCCAACAAAGGGATTGTCAATGACAAATGTTGTAGGGCCAGGTGATGTGTGTTTAGCTGTTTCTCTGTTCATTGTGAACCTAAATTATGATAAAATTATCCATGCCCATCAAATAAGTATTTATGAAATGCCACATTGCAGCATTTTAAATGTCAAAAATAACCCTACCACCACCATCACCATTAGTGCCCTAGCAGTATCATCGTGACATGCGAGTAATTGCAAAAAATTCACCACAAATATAAACAAAACCAAAATAATGTGATTTCATGTAACTTTTTTCATATAAATATATATCCTTGATATTTTAATAAGGGATAAACCTTACTTGATTAGCCAATGAAACTCTTCCTCCTTATCCGAACAACCATAATCTGAGGTCCAAGCATGACCTGAATAATTATTCTAAATCAATATGTGAAACTTGAATAAACAAATAACTGAATATTACATATTTAAAGAAACCTATAGTAAATTTGTGGAACCGTAGCATGTCCATAACACCAACATGAGCCAGAGCACACCCAAATAAATCAGGTCTCTGTACAGGGAAATCAGAATCTAATAAACACAGATGTTGAACGGGAAGGTTTAGATAAAAAACTGGAGAAAAAGCAAATGAATTGGACCTGATTTATACAAGCACCAACAAGAAGTCCACCATTGCTTCCACCTTCGATGCATAACTTTTTGGGTTGAGTATAACCAGTGGATACAAGGTATTCAGCTGCAGAAATGAAGTCATCAAAGCAATTCTGCTTTCTTGCAAGGGAGCCTGCTTTATGCCAATCCTCCCCATATTCCCCACCACCACGAATATTTGCTATGCAGAAAACAACACCTAAATGTCTTGTGATTACAATGCGACTGACACTGAAATATGGTGTAATGCTGATGTTAAAACCGCCATATCCATATAATAAGCATGGGTGTGATCCATCCAAAATAATATCCCTTTTAGCGACAATGAACACTGGGATCTTGGTACCATCTTTACTACTCACAAAATCCTGAAATAAGGCAATTACATCAAAGAATAGAACAATCAAGTTGAGCAACAAGAACCCTACTCTTTCAGAAGAATGTAATTTCAAAACTGTCAATTTAATAATGTGAACCTAAAATTTGGAGAAAACAGTGTTATTAGAAAATACTTTTTTACCTGTTTAACATGAAATTGGGACCGGTCAAACCCAGGGACAACAATTTCACGAAATATCTTCATATCAGGAATCTCTGTTCCCAGATTACACTGGTAGATGATACCAGGGGTTAAAAAGCTTGTAAAGCTAATGAAAACCACACTATCTTTGCGCCGTGCAGAAACTTCAGATACTGAGCCAATGTCAATTGGTAATTGATGCAGCAAGGAGCCCGTTTTTAAGTCTCTAACTTGAAGAACATACTTTACATCGCTCAAGTAACTCACTATCAGTTGGTTACCATTTACAGCACATGCTGACTCAAGAACATCTTTTTCAGACTCTTGGAGAACATCAGCCCACACAGTTGGTTCTTTGAAATCCACTCGGACTAATTTATATTTTGGAGCATCTTTATTAGTTAAGAATGTAAATACAGTGTCATCATTGGCAATGGCTTCATACTGTGCATCAAAGTTATCAATAAGTTTGACAAATGGGAGGAGGGAATTTTCATTCCGAAATCCTTCCAGCGCATTTGGAATTTGGGACAAGTCACAGTAGTAAAGTTTGTTAACTGGATCGCACCCTTCTGCAATATAGAGAAGGATGTACTGCACAACCAACAAAAACCGAAAGTCATTCATGGGAAAATTTAATATCATGTGCATAAAATTCAATGTAGCTTTTTGACTGCAATAGATGAAAAATAAAATAATCAAATTATACTCACTACCAAAGGTTACCAAATCGAGATTCAAATCATGATTCGTTGAACTATTTTTTGAACTGTTAATCGTAATTTTGTACAAATCATAAGATTAAGGTACAATAAAAAATTACTTAAAATATATCATATAGATTATATATATTGTTCAGTGTAAACAACATAAACTAGAAACAGATAAAATAACTAATGTGAAAGTCATACAAAACAAAAAAAATAGTTATATTTAAGTTTTTGAAGTCTTTATTTTTAGAAGAATGGAAACAAAAACAATTAAATAAATAAATAGACTATATGCTTTGAATGAGTGAGTAGCAAATAAAAGTGAAATAATAAAACAGGATAAGTTCACAAAAGTAAAATTCCTTTTTATTTAAAAACCTTAAGCGCACGACTTTTTTATTGTTTTCATAAGAATTGGTGAAAAAGTAAAATCATTTGAATCATATCGGGTGATAAAAATTACATAAATTTATTCATTAACTGTAAGATACAAAAGTCATTTAAGATTCATCCTAAGATAAGAATCAGTAGATAGCCAAAACGTGATAACTATGCTCAATACATTTTGGGCTTGCAATTTTGTGAACTTAAATCATATTTCCTACAACCGTCTTTGATGCTATGTATGAACATATATTCTAATTAGATATATAAAATTTACATACTAATGGCTTGCTTACCCTATTCTGATAGTTAGGTAAGAGAATTGAAAGGCATCAGAATAAAGCTCAAGGTTTTAACATGAGATGGTTAAAGAAAGACAGATGTCCATTGAGCAAAAAGATTTTATCATAGTAATATTCCATTGGTCATTCAAAATAAAAGTATCATGGTTTTAGTCCCTAAAAAATTGTGATTTTAGTTCCTAAAAATTAGGAAAACCATGCCCTTTTGGTCCTTCATTGGTGAGTTTAGAATCCTCTAGATATGTTAGAATCTTCTTGATAAGATACTAGGATCAATTGATGATATTAGAATCAATTAGACTAATTCTACATTTATGTTATTAGCCTAAAATAAGGAAACTAAATATTCTATCATTACGCTCTCCTATAAATTGAATAGCTCTGTCGTGGTCTAAACACAATTTATCATATGCTTTCATGGTCTTTCTCTTATCAACGGTGAATAATCAAAGACCATATCATTTTTTATTAAAAGATAGGACTACGAATGAATAAAAAAATTATAGAAACTAAAAAAAATAACAGTCCAAATTTCAAATACTTGAAACATATTTAAGCCAAATGGAAATTAGCCATAGCAATACTGTAGATATCCAGGCTTCTAATCAATGATAAATCAGGTAGATAGATACCTTATAAATTATGTAAGGCGGGGCATTGAACATGAAGCATCAGTACCATTAACCATAGTAAAATTCACTAAGGCATTAGTTGCAATTTCTTATTTTATGTGCAAATGAAAAAAATACAGATAATGTCTAAAGCAGTGACAAAAATTAAGAACCTTGCCATCATCAGTAACACTTCCTCCAAACGTATATTTGGGGTTTTCAGGATCTCTCCAGCACAAAATATCTTCTGATTGATCTGTACCTAGAAAATGGTAATAGAGCTGATGATGAAGGTTAGCATTTGTTTCAGTCCCAGCATCTACTTCTTCTCCATCTCTACAGGGTAAAAGCAGAGAATTAAATTCAGGTTTTAAGTGAAGACAAATTGAATCGATCCTATTGTCATTCATCACCATGAAAAGTTATTTACAAGATCATTGCTAGAAATAAGGCCAAGTCAAATAATCATGATCAGGACAAGAAAAATCACGACTATTTACTCTCCATGATTATAATCTGCCATATTTGTAGTTGAAGAGCAATACCAAGTTAGAATAACCACCTGGAGTTGTCTACTTTCCTTTAAGCCCAAATTCTACCAAATTGCAACTAATATGTGACATTTTGAACTCAAAAACCTCTGGAAGCGATAGCATGTTTGGATTCACATTAGATGATCTAGAAACACATTTAAGTATAAGCTAACGTGATTTTGCGCAAACATTCATAAGTTAAGTTCAACATTGAGAAATTTGTTCTGAATCAGAATTGCATTTGAGTTGTAACAACTTTAAATAAAGTTTTGCATAGATATTAATTTGCCTTTAAAATAAATATTAAATTAAAATAAGTCTCATTACTTCAAAACAATTTTACACAACCAAATATCATTCAAAATTAATTTTGCAAAATGTTAACCCAAACACACAATGAGAAAAACCAAAATTCTGTATTTCTAGAAAAAATGTGAGCATAAGAGATCACTTACTTGGGTGCTGGATAGCGGCTATAAAAGAAACCTTTGTTGTCATGCGTCCAACTAATTGAGGAAAACTTTACCTGAAACATATAACATTTACAATTACAACCATCAGTGGTTCATTTCTATACCTGTTTTTATTTCTAATAACGGCACAAAATAATACCCCACCCACGATAAAGTATCTGGCTCAACATTCCTGTCCTCGATCCGCAACACTTTTATTGTCGTCCAATCGCTACCGCTTGAACTAAGCGCATAAGCCAAGTATTTGCCATCTTCGCTCACTGACAGAGTGCTCAGCGACACAGTTCCGTCTTCACTGAAGCCGTTGGGATCGAGTAACACCTCTGCCTCTCCCTCCAAACTCTCCTGAAAAAATTCAACGTATAATTGAATCCGAGAAACTACAAAACCAAGCAAAGCATTGAACGCGTGATAAATTAGTCATCAAACCTGCACATATAGGATATTTTGTGGCTGAAGCCCAGTGTTGTGGAAGTAGAAGTACTTATCCGCTCGTCTAAACGGCGACTCATAACGAGGATGGTCAAAAAGCTTAGTTATCGCTTCCCTAAGCTTCACTCTAGTTTCGCATTTTTGAAGAACCGAATCCGTGAGTGTAACCTGTCTGTCTACGAACTCTTTCACTTCTTCCGCATCAGGATCTTCGAGCCTTAAACAGAGACAAATAAATAAGAAGAGACTAAATGCATATAAAGAAGACATTTCGACGAGATTTGTCTCTATAATTTCCTAAGCAGAGTATAATAACTTCTCGCAGAAAATTGGAAGGATAAAGCAACATTAATTCGAATTGATAAACGATAACTTTTAAATTTGGTTTGAGTACCATCGGTAAGGATCCGCAATTTTGACGCCATGGTAGTCTTCAACGACGGTGTCATCTCTGCGAGCAGGAGGATATTGCAGAGAGAGGTTTAGGGCAGAACGCGAAGTCATGGTATTGGGATGACTTGAGGATAGAGGAAGAGAAATGGAATTATAGTCAATGTGGAGTTGAAGCGACGCGGGTTAAATACCACGAGATTTGGTAGTAGGAGTTGCTGATTCCTCGGGAATTACTAGTATTCCCCATTGTATCCACCGTCGTAGGAAGCGGAAAAAGCAAAAGAAAGTAGTAGTACAAATTTAAAATGATCAATAAAATAATTAATTTAATTTACTTTATTAAATTTTAAAAATAATGCTATTAGATATTTAAATTTATTATTATTATTTAAAATTGTTTTCATTGATAAACAAATATTCTTTATATGTAGTAAACAAATTAAAAAAAAATTATAACAATTGTAAAGTGTGTTATAAAAATAATAATTACTTTTTTAAGTATGTCATATATCAATAATTAAAAAGAAAGCGTGTTTACTGATAATAATTTGCAAAAAAAAAAAAAACTTACTAATAGACAAAGACATTATATTTAACTGAATATATTCTCGTTATCTAGTATTAGGAGTTAAAAATTAATATCTTAAAGTATTAAGATATATTTAAAGGAATAATATCTTTTAAGCAACTTTATAAATAAGATACATTTATACTTATTTCAAAAAAATTATGCTACCTATTTAATCAAAATTATTTTTTACTTAAACCAAGTTGCATAACACATCAAGATATATTTAAATACCGTAAGTAATTTTTATACACACAGATATATTTATACCACCTATGTAATGTGATAAAGTTGTATTTTCTTCAACAAAGTTAAAGAGCTTTTTCATTTTAGCAACAAATACTTGTTTTAGCGTTCTACTGAAGTTTCAGGTTACTTTATTTAGTTTATGAAAAAAAAAATCACTCCTAAAAGTAGTTTAATGAAAAAAATTGTCCAAACATACCATTATTCATAATCCAATTTTAATTTGTAAATAAAATACTTTATTATTTTTACTTATAAGATATTATGGAGCAAATTTTCTAATCAATTCTATATCAAAAATTTTCTTATATTTTTAACTTAATACTAATTGCCCTATTTTATTTGTACTTTATTCATTTTAAAATTGCCAACTAAGAGTAACTTACCATATCCAATAAATACAATTGAGAGATATTTATTAAAATTAGATTATTTACTTACATAATTATAAAATAACATCTTGATTTGTAGAAATTGTGCTAATAAAAAAATGAAATCGCATTTCATGCCAGTAATTAATTTAAATAAAAAATCATTTTGGAAAGCATATTTTGAAATGAAATGGTTTTAACATCTTTTTTAACTGGAATTTCAAATATCATTGCTTGGCTATTTCAACTGTTTCTCTTCATGGACGTCTGAAACCCATTTCCACGCTGGGCCGTGTTCAATGTGAACTAATTTTAGGTTTGGTGTGAAATATCATTTGAATTTATTAAAAGACCAAGCTTAAAATAAACAAATTATCACTATAATTATTTAATAGCACACATTGTTGGCCATTATTAAACCCAAATTTTAAAAAAAGTTTCCTAAAAACAATTGAAATCATGTCACCATTATGTTTAGAAATTTAATATTATATCAATTACAATTTCAATGGTAAAAGTATTATATCAGTTTTTTCTTAAACAAAATATCGCATCTACAAGCACACATTTTTCAAACACAATTTACTTCATTATAACATTTTTTTTTTATATAAAAAGTTTCTCCGTTTTATAATTTTAAAAACAAATTACTCTATTTTAGAAAACTTTCCTATAATTGATCCACTATACGTCATTTATGTATGAGGCCACTACACAATTCACCGGAAAAATTTAATTTTATTATTCATAATTAAAAGTTATGTTTCACTAGTAATGTTGCTTGCTAGATTATTTATAATTAATATAATTTAAATAAATTTATTTTTTCAATTACCTTCATAACAATCTATTATAATAAATAAATTTTTTCATTAATCAAAATATAATTTAAATACATAATTTAGTTATAAAATGTGTCATTTCACCGTAAGGTTAGTTTTTGTCACCTTGGTCTCTACTTCATTTTTTTATTGGCTTGTAATTAAAAAAAAAAACTTAGAAAAAATATGTACAAGGTTTTGTATACCATTTTTTTTACTGAATGAAACTTATTGCGAGCCCCAAAGCTTTTCCACCAGTAGAAACCCACTGGTTTATTAGACACGTTAAGAATTTACATTATTTTCATTTGGCGTTATTCCTCTAACTATACATTTTAACATTTGAATTATTATTTTATTTTTCAAGTATTTTATGGAGAATAGATCTAGTTTATTAAATTGAACTTTTTTAATTTAAATAAAAAATGTAATTATCATTAAATATATAAATACTATACATAAAATATATCATAAAAATTAATTTAGATAATATAATTCAAAATTATTAAATTTATTTTTTATTTAAATAAAATATATCACCAAATTTCTTAACATCAATAAACAATAATTTTTATAATCATATACTCATATGTCAATTGATTATAATCGATAGAAAATACAAAAATAAAAAATAGAATTTGGAGCATGTTGATTAGAAAGTAGTGAGGAATTATGGGACAAAAAATAAATCCGCTTGGTTTCAGACTTGGTACAACTCAAAAGACTTGGTACAACTCAAAGTCATGATTCTATTTGGTTTGCACAACCAACAAAATATTCCGAGAATGTACAAGAAGATAAAAAACTACGAGATTGTATCAAAAATTATATAAAAAAATAGAAGAATATCCTCAGGTATAGAGGGAATTGGACAGATAAAGATTCAAAAAAGAATCGATTTGATTCAAGTCATAATATATATGGGATTTCCCAAGTTATTAATAGAGGGTAAACCTCAAAAAATGGAAAATTACCAATTCGGATTAATATTTTTCATTTCCATGGATTAAAAATAAATCTAAATCTGGTTCAATTAATCTACAAATTAAGTAGGTTAAAGTCAAATTATAATTCATTATTTATTTAAAATTTTAAAAATAATTATAATAATTTAATTCGCCTAATTGATTTTATTTTATATCTTTACTTTTATTCAATGTTATAACCAAATTCTTTCACTCAACTTTATCATTTATCAACTGTGGCATACTTGAATCACTTGTCAATCATTTACTGTATCACTACATAATTGTATTTGTCATTTTATCACATTTTAGTATTATATTTTAGTATCCTGAGTCGGTCTTACTTATCAAAAAGAATAGAAAAAAAAAATATGGATCAAGAAATCAACTCCCTAACCCATAATATAGAGTAAAATTATAAAATTTTTGGTTTATCATAAAATAAATCAAGTTAAACTCACTTATTTTCGACTTAGTTTACTCTTTAAATAAGTCAACCTGTCTTATACGGGTTAATTCAATCTAACATCCCTAATTACATGTCATTAAATATTTTTAAGAAAGATATTCTTACTTGTATTTATTTAAAAATTAGATTACCATCAGAAGAAAATGTAATTTACAAAATAAAAACAACTGATATAAACAAAAAAACACATAGTATTAATAAACAAAATCTGATCAATTAAGTAATACCCTGTAAATTAAATATTATTAAAAAACAATGAAGATTTACAATTAAAAATATATTAAAAAATTATAACAAGTAATTAATTACTTTAATCATGTATCTAAATAACTCTTACAGTAAAAATATTAGATTTACTAAAATAAATTACAAAAAATTTTATCCTAACATAATATTTTGTGTTTACCTGAAAGAGCTGATTTGTAATGTTTTATGATAAGTTACTTCATATGCGCTTGCAAACTCATTTTTCATGTCAATTTAACTTGATACCATATATTTGTCTCTTTTTTTCACCATCAAAGTTTTCTTAAGGTAGAAAAAATATACAAATTTTGAATTTGTTAGGATAGTAAGTACTAGGTTAACGTTGGAGAGAATATCATCATTTCAAGTTCAAAATCCAAATCCTATAAAAAAAAGTCATGTATAATAATAACAACACAGGATAGAGATGAACGTCGTACTAATTTTATACCTTATCAGGTCGACTTTGCTTGAAATAAGGGCCTATTCAAACAATATCTCTACACACTCATTGTTTCCTTCTTCTCCTGATTTTTATTTTTTTATCATCTTATATATATATATATATATATATATATATATATATATATATATATATATATATATATATTATTAGAAGTGAAGTTGCTTATTTTGCCACTAACAAATCAGAAGCTAAGAATATGGATGGTTAGAGTCAGTGGATGGAGTTGGAGAGTCAAAAGAGTCATGTGGCGTAGTGGTGTAATAATGAAATGGACCTTATAATTAAGGCTAATTCCTAGCACTGTGCTAGTCGTACACTTGTACCAAATTAAATTGAAGGATTTGACTCGTACAAAAAGATTGTTGCAAAACACATACTATGTTCATAGGCTATGTCTATTACCTTACCTAGCTAGCTGCTAGCTGTTGGGATGCAAACAGCTGCAACTCAACCCTACCCAGCAACTTTGAGGGGCCGCCACTAGTTTAAACAGTTAACCTGCTGTCGTGTATTTTTACACAACCCAATCACATTTCCTATCACATTCATCATTACCTCTCACTTTACACTTTAATACATTCAAATTTATTTTCATTATTAAACTTCACCTCTCACTTTACACTTTGATACATTCAATTTTTTTTTTTCATTATAAAATATACACCACTAACCAATCATCAAAAGTATGTACAATAACAAATTTCATCCTTGAGTGAGTTACTTTAAATGCAGTGTGTTTTTCTCCTGTGAAAAAAACAAATTCAAACTCTATGAACAAAAGGGTAAAGAAGAACTGGGTTTTATATATCACTGGCATGAAAAATCCATGTAGAAAACTACGTGTGAATAATGTGATAAAAGATAAAAAATAAAGTATTTTATGAGGATCGAACCCTTTCATAGACAAGTAAGGGTTTTTAATTCAATATTGCTAGTCCAAAAACTTATGACAAATTTAAGAACAATATTCACTCAGCTTTTTCTCTAAAACTGATTTTGTATTTAGTTACAAGGTGTTAAATAAAGTGTGCTTACTTTTCTTGTATTGAATATTTATAAAAGATGATAATGTCAGTTTTCAATCATGAGAGGGTTGTGGAGTGTATTCGACAATAGGGAAGAGTCAGGCATAAAAATTAATGCAAGTAGTTAGGGTACCATCTAATCTCCATTGTCTGTGCTGTCTGCTATTGGATATGCAAATCAAAATTCACTAAAACCAAAGAGAAACTTATTTTTCCCTTGTAGATTTGATACTGAGAACACAGGAAAATGATCATGCATGAAGCCATAAATCACCCAACATAGTTCACATAATATAATAATAATAAAAAAGGTAACCAGAGACCAATATCTTAAAATCATTAAAAAAATGTAAAACAATAAAAGAAACTTTTTCTGCATGCACTCCTAAAAAAGAATTTATCTCTGCAAAGAAACTACAGATCCAAGCCATGAAAGCTTCTGCTATCAAAAATAGAAAATTATCCGATTAACACTCCTCCAAGAGGAGTTACAGAGTCGCAAACCGAATCACCTCTAGTTGTAGAAACCCTAGATCCAGCAACTTAGTACAACTGCAGACGACATGAAGAAAAAAACAAACTAAACATAAACTATAAACAACAATGATAGATTTTAGAAACAAAGGAAGAGAACAAGGAAGAAAAAGACATCAAGACCAAGGGTAACACATAGGGTTTTCAAAGAACGGAAGAGAGACAGATAGATTATAGGGCTTCCACTTTTCAACATTAGCAGCAAGTATAACAAGTAATTATCCTGTACTTCAAATCTCGCATCAAATTCGCAATATTACTGTAGTATCCTGCAAGATCAAAACATAGAGAAAAGAACACACAGTGTAGTGTTAATAATATTAATACCCAGTAAGAAAAAAATAATAAAAAAAACCGGTGTTATTCAAGAAAATAACAGGAGATAAAATTGCATAAGAGCATTTATCAGACATCTACAAAGTGGGTTGTATATGTAAACGAAGATAGAACCAATAAATCATAAAAGAAAAAAGATGGAAGAAGGATTGTGGGTGGGTAGGTCACCTGATGAGTTATGCTAATCATCCGGAAAACAGAAAAAAAAAAAAAAAAAAAGGTAGTGTGAGTAAAAGTGTTTGTGTAATTTGAGAATGAGATATATCACGGAGGCTTTACAAAGAGAAGCCAACAGAGCTCTATTGGCAGCATGTCCACCTCCGCTTAGTACTAATATGGAGAAGGAGAAAAAGAGATCCATTATTTGGAAGTGGAGGTGGACAGAATGCCAAGAAACTCTGTGAGAAACCCTTTGTTAAACCCATGTGAAGACAAAAGAAATGAAATGAAAGAGAGAGAAGTTGCAGCGTAAGAAGGCAAAGATGAGAGCAATGAAGAGAGACAATGAAGGGAAAGCATGTGGTGTGGCGTATTTAAGATGTGATGGAGCAAGAGAATAAATAAGAGAGAGAAGAGGGTGAAGGTGGGGGTGATTATTGTTTAATTAATAAATTATTAATTAATAAGAAAAAGAAAAGAGATGAGACTGAAAAAAAGATTTGATAAGTAACGAGAGTGGATGGTTCATTCTTCCTGATCCTGATGCTGGTGGAGAAGGGCATATTTAGAAAGATCAAAGGAAGGATCATCATGGTTGTTCTCTTCATCTCCCTCGTTCTTGATGAAACCAACCAAACTCGCACTCTTTCTTCTCCTTCTCTCCATCAATCTACTCTATTCCTTTACCTGCCCCTCTCCTTTCCTTTCACATCGATTCTGATGCCCACGAAACAACACAACGCAGTTGGATCTAACTCGTCACACTCTTCACACTTGGATAAGGCTCACGTTAAGTACCGTTTTGGCCCACTTTATATTTGATTAAAGGAAAAAATTTCAGTAGTGGAATTGCATAATATGAACTAACTTGTTCAACCCTTCCACATAATTACAAACTATAATATTATTTCATAGAAAAATATATTTTAATATATAATATATGTCCCAGAATAAAATTATAGACACAAAATTATTCACGTGTCATTATCGTATCTCAATTATTTTTATATAAATCTTTACTTATTTGTAAATATAATAATAAAATAAATTATAAGATCTTAATTAAATATATAGTATAATCGTAAAATTATAATTAAACTTACTAGACTGAGTGTATAATGCATTATATTTACTTATAATTGGGTATCTTCCATGTGTGAAGTCAATAAATAGTTTTTTTTTATGTAAATATTATAATACCTACAATATCCAAATGTATTTTAAGTTAGTGTAAAGTCTATTATATTAATTAAGAGAGTTTAATTTTTCATATTTAGAATATTGACATTCAACTTTCAAACAAAACTTGGTTTCACTTTTGAATATAACGAGTTAAGGGAACTTCAATACACTAAATTGAGAGATGCTTCAGCTACAACTAAATAATTACATTCAAATACCAAAGTTGGAGGCTATGGAAGTGTATAAAAGCATAAAGAGATAATGTATCTAACAGGGGAAGGTATCCCATGTTATAGACTAAGAAATGAAATATGTGGAGTTAGATGATAATTGAAATGAAAAATTTATGTAATTACATAATAAAAAATAAAGAGAAAATTTCATAATCTCAGCATAATTTATAAAATAGAGATGTGTTGTTTCTTCAAGTTAAAAATAAATATATAATAAATTATGTAATAAACAAATTTGATAATGACATATTTTAAATATAATAAATAAATATATTATTAATATACATAGATAATATTTTAATAATATATCTTTTATTTATCTTGATTTTCTAATTCAAACCATTTAAATTTTTTCTTATTTCTTATATTTTCTCTCTTTTTTACTATTCAGATACACGTATAATATTAATTTTATAATTTGTTTGTATAAAATAATGTTAAATTTAATCCATAATGAACTAGGTAATATTCACATTGATACATAATGAATAATTAAGATCGTGTGTATATATATATATATATATATATATATATATTAAAATTAAAATCATATAATTTTATATTTTATATTAATAATTTAGATTCATTCATTTTATGTGGTAAGATTAAACTTTTATTTTTTTATAAAAGAAAAAAAAAAGATAGAGGGAGCGTTTTAGACAATGGAGGTCTCAAGGCAAGATTTTGATTTTATGGCTGGGGCTTGGACCTACCTCCCATTACATTATTTAAGAATCCAAGATATCCTGTTCTTTCTTCAACTCAAACAAACAACTTAAAAATAATTGAAATAAAAGAAAAAGCTTTTGACCTAGGACATTAGGCACATTAATATTAGTTTTGAATAAAAAAACACTATATTAAGGGTTGATGGTTACACTTTTATTTGACGCCTTAAGAGGTTCTTTATTTATTAATTTTGGCATTGAAAAAATAGTGAGTGACACACCAGAGTGGAAGAAGTATGATTTAATCTTTCCTTTTTGTCGTCCGATACGTCGCACTCATCACGCCCACAACCACAAAGCCACGCCCTGAGCTTAGAAATACTCACCACCTCCAAACCCAATACAATCAATCACAACAACAAACTCTCACACCAAAATAATTACCATTACCATCTCCTTCTTCTTTTTCTATGCTAGTTTTATATCTCCATGCATTTATGAGACCAACCCATTTTACTTCCCTTATTTATTGCTTCAAATCTAACCCTCCAACCATCGTCCACACCCAATTTAATATTTTCTTTCACCCTTTCGAAGTTCAAACAAGAAAGCCAGAAGAAATCAGGATCCATTGCTCCCACCAACATACACATCCAACCACTGCAACCCATGACATGGCCATGACTTTTTCTAAGTCTCATCTTTCTCTCTCTGAGGTACACAACAGTTGGCCTGCTGAATCACTGTCAGACAAAGCCATGATTAAATCATTGGAACAATGCAAAATTATTAACACCCGCTTCTATTACATTGCATTACACCTTTTTCCTTTCTCTACTTTCCTTTTGTACCTCCCATTTGCAATTTCCTACTCCGTAGGACTAGGATAATACAACCAAATTCAAATCAACTCATTATGTATTATCAACCCTGTCCTTGAACACTGTTCTATTCTTTCTTTTCCACACCACTTAAGTCATTGCTTCAGCAAAGAAACAAACAGGATAGAAATTAAATGAAATATATTGAGAGAAAAATCATTTGATAGAGAACAAATATATTTACGTTTTAGATTATTTTTTTATGCAACATTTTATAGGAAGTCATAATAATTGTTTTTGTTTTTATTTTTTTATAATATTTTGTCAAATCATGTGAAACAAAAAAACTGCATTAATTCTCATTCTCGTTCTCCCAGTTAACCCACACAACTTTTTTTTTCATCCATTCATCCTCATGACCAAACACCGAATTATAGTTCTACAAGTGTATTTTTTTATATTACTTTTTAATTAGAATATGAGATTCTTCCATCTCTCATTCTCAGTATCAAACACTGAATTTCGGTTTTACAAATGTATTTTTTATATTGTTTTTTAATTAGAATATATAGCATGTATATTATTTCCTCCCAATTGAAGGATACCATAAACAATATTTTTATAAAATTACCTATTTTTTTATCCATCTACATTTTAGTACTTGTATAAACATTTATGTCTATCATCAAAATATGAATATAATTAATGTTCATACTAGCAGTTCTACTTATGATGAAAGTGTAATATTAAAAGTATTTGTCTTATTCATTTTAAATGTGTAATTATAGTGAATTTAAAATTGTTACTTAGGTAAAGTTGTATATTGATAATGAATGGATAAAAGAGAAAAGAACAAGAGGAGAAAAAAAAATAAAATAAAGGTACTGAACAGAACAAAACAGAGAAAAGATATAATTTTTATAAATGGTTTATAATATTCATGAAATTGACTGGAGGAGATGCAGAAGAAACAACTTTGTAGTCCACTTTGAGTTTAACCTTTCAAAAAGGTACATGCGCTTTGCTCCCTGTCCTCTATGCAGGGTAAGTGTCAACTTTTATTCTTCTTTCTTTTCTTTCCTTTATTGAAAGGCATTTTTAAGGGGTGGTGCAACTGTGGGGACTAAATTTCCAAGGTATAAATGTTACGATGACACAAACAAAAAGGGAAAGAAAGGATGCTTCCCTTTTTATCGTAGCTTTTGATGCATCAAATTTTTACTTTTGGGACACAAAAGATTAATAATGGAGATTATTCCAAAGTGCTATGCATTTAGTTGGTTAATATGCAGATTGGGTTTATTTGTGATGTTAGGGAGTTACATGACTCCACATAATTTCATGCATAGAAATCCACTCTTCTTCATGATTATGAGTCATTGTTGCCCAAGTGGAGTATCTTTCACCCAAATCCTAATAAGATGCCACTGCGTTCTTCATTTTATGCACAAAAAGAATCTGTGCAATGATATGTCACGTTGTGCTTGTTCAAATAATTCTACTTTTGGGCCAATTACTTTGTCCCAGATGAAAGCCCAAAGACTGTAGGCGCATCTACAACTGGGAGGTTTGTGGGGACCCGTCACTTTAAAACTCTGTTTGTCTCACCATAGGTTTGGATTGCTTTATTAGACAAGCAATTACCTGCAAATATTTTAAGAATAAGATTTGGATTAGAGATAATTTTTTTTTTTTATGAATATTCATAGATAAATAAGCTTTTTTTATGATGAACCAAAGAAACCATCAGAGGGGAAGAAGGATGGGCCTGGCCCAACTACCCTCAAAAGTTTTTCACATTAATCACCAAAGCCCAATAACTTACTTAGATTACATCCAATTGTGGTACCTGGCGCCACATCAAATTGCATGAGTAAAACTACCAAAAATATTAGGGGGCATTCCGAGAATCGAACTCGGGACCTCTCGCACCCAAAGCGAGAATCATACCACTAGACCAAATGCCCACTTGTACCCTTTTATATTTGAGTTTTAATTAGTCTCTATCAGTTAGATTACATTGGCAATTGCCATACTTTTTTCACTTTCCAGCCCAGTAGAGTACGCATAGATATTCGAATTAAGTAAATAAATTAACGATCCAATATTTTAAGAATGACCATATTTTTAATTTAGTTTGATCCAATAATGAATTAATAGATCAATTTTAAAAAGTTATAAAAATATTAATATATTTATATTAAATTAATCAATTAAAAAAAATCTTTTTTTAAAATTTAAATTGTATTATAAAATTAATTTTTATTTAAGAAACTAAAAAATTGATAATATGTTTACATCAAAATTAGAAAATATTTAAATAAAAGTTTTAAATAATATATTATTTTAACTATATTAATAAAATTAATTTCTATTAAAATATATTAATTTAACAATATAAATTACATAAAAAAATCCTGTGAAAATAAAAGTTAAGAGAGTTATTTTTGTTATTATAATTTATTTTCAATAATTTATAAATTTAATAATTAATTTTAAATATTAGAATCTTTAAATTAATGATTAATTTTAGAAAATATTTTATTAAATTAATTTATTATATATACTTTTAATCAACTAATATTATTTTTTTAAAATAATTATTATTCTAAATCTACAGATTAACCTTGATTAAATCGACTTACACAGTAACCTAATCATATAAAATCAAAATAGGTATGATATTTTTAAGTTACAACTTTTTTTTAATCTGTATTTTGCTTTCTGATGTAAATGTCAGATTTATTTTATTTTTTACAATTTTGTAGTCTGGTTAAGAAGAGGTGTGTGTTTGTTTAGGAAAAAATCAATTAATATAATGATTAAGCATGAATGATTTAAATACATCTTCTTTTTAATTTATGAAGATTCTTAATTTATCGATATGCTTTTAAAGATAAAATTTTGATTGATAAAAGTTTTAAAACTAATAATAACTTAGATATAGAATTTCACTCTAACAATGTCACAATAGATATTTAATTAATATTTTTTTATTAAATATATTATTATTATATTATTACAGAAATTTTATAGATAAACAAGTTTAAAATTATTTTTGGTATTAATAGTTTTACAGGAGTATATCCGTGACCTTATAGAAATTTTATACTAAAATTAATATATATTTAAAAAAAAAACTAAAAGATGTTACCTCATTGTGTATAGTAACTTATACATGTTTATTAAGTGATGATTACATTAACTGTTTAATTCCATAAGATAATGTGATAAATTTTAGAATTATTTTTTATATATGTTATCCTCAAAGTTATATATATTAATGTTTGTACAACAAAAGTAGGATATATTTGTTTTTCTACTTTAAAAATTTATTTAGTTTAAAGCAACTTCAAGTTGCATGAGAAATATTTTTTTCTTATATTCAAATATATTCAAAATTATAATAATAAAACATTAACGTCAGAGTGCTTCATTTTGAAAACAAAAAGTATAAAGTAATTATTCTATTTACTTTTAAGTTTTTAAAATATTTTAAAAATAATTTAAGTAATTTGATAGTGATGAAACAAATATTGTAATGTAATTATTGATCAAAATACTGTCAATAAAAATATCAAAGGAAAAAAAAGTAGAAAAATGTATTTTATAAATTTAGAATTTTAGTTTTTAAAAATAAAAATACAAATATTTTTTTAAAATTATTTGACAAAAGAGACATAAAGTATGTTTATAATTTATTTAAAATTAATTGTTTAAAAATTATTTTTATAATTAAATTTTAAAAAAAAGTTAAGCATTTTCAAAACTAAAGGAACAATAAGTCAATTTAAACCTATAAATTATTGAGTTATATTCAAATTATTAAAAAAACATAGGAAACAACACATGCACAAATCTACTAAAATAACACAACTACATACTTCAAAATAATATTTTGAATTTTACTTGGTGAAAATATAATAACTTGCAGTTCTTTAATTGTTTTAATATTCACACTTTTATTTGTGCACTCAATTTGTTTTAGTGGATAAGGTTTTAGAGATGTGGGTATTATTTGTATGAATAGATAACTTGTTGATATTTATTATTATGCATAAATAATTATATATTATTATTATTATTTATAATTTTATATCAAATTAATATATTTATTAAAAAATATATAAAAGATAATAAAAATTTTAGAGATATTAATTTTAATATCCTATATTTGAAAGATGGTTATTTAACCTTAATTTAGTAAAAGATAATTGATATTGTATTTAAGAGATAGGAAGTGATAGACCACCCAATGCAGGTGACAGATGGACGGTTGAAACATTGTTAAATTAAATGGATAAGACATTAACAACACTGCCAAACACATGTACACATCAAATGATAATTTCTATCTTAGTAGATATTCTAAAACACCATTATATATATATATATATATATATATATATATATATATATATATATATATATATATATATATATATATATATATATATATATTTGAAATAAATAATTATATCTCAATTAACAGAGTATAATTTTATCAGTATGTTAATATAAAACACAAAAATATATTTAATTTTTTCTTTTAAAATCCTGTTCAGAAGTCCCAAACATGACACGAAGAGATAAGATTTATATCAATATTTAATACGTGTTTACTTTGGACCAAAATTTAAATTTAAACATATCTGTATTAATTCATAATATTTTAAAAAATTATCATCCATAATAATAATAATAATATATAACTGAAAGCAAAATAATTATATATAGAGAGATTATAATATATTATTAATGTTAAAATATACATAAATGTTATTAATATCCATGACATTATATTTAATGAAATGGAATACCGCTATATATTACGTTATATTATATATATATATATATATATATATATATATATTAATATTTTCTTGACCGTCTGAGATAAAGAATGATAAAATAAAAATTATGGAAGTTATAGTTTAAAAAATATTAAATTTTATGACATATTTATCAACAAATTAATTTATAGTGTGCAAGTTCCAAAGTAACATTAATGTAATTAATGATATTATTTTATTATAATTAAATATATTTAATCTAAAGATATTAATACTTAATATAATCATAGGAGACTTTCCGACGATAAATACTGTAAATAATATATTAAAAAATATATATTTAAATAAATTTTTTATTAATTTATTTATTAAGTTATTAAGTATACATATTTATTGTTTATCGTTTTTATTTTTTTATAATTTTTTATTTATTCTTTATTTTATTTTTTTATTTTTTTCTTCTCTTTCACCTAATTCTAATTAAATTATTATATTAAAATTCAATAAAAAATGTTAAAATAAATATTTTAAAATTTAAAATTACAAAATATTAATAATTAATTAAAATTATGATAATAATTATTATTTTTTATTTTAAAATTAATTAATAAATAATTATTCATCTAATAAAAATATAAAATATTTATAAGATAAATATATATTTTATTTAATAATTTAATCTAGTTATAAAAAAAACACAAATACTAAATAAACATATAAACAAAATAAATGAAAAAAGAAAAATAATTAATTATATTATGTGAGACAAATTTATTTATCCTTATTAAATTTTATTTATCACTAATAAATTGATCTAATTGAGTAAACAAATATAGAGAGATTTCATAAGTAATTTTTTTAAAATATATTATTTATGAAATTAATTTGTTTTTTTTATTAATTTTTGTGAGACTTGAATTAAAATATAAAATTATATTTTATAAAAAATATTATATATTTTTTAATGTTAAAAAATATAAAAAAGGTTACAACATTTTCAAATGTATTGAGTATTATTTTTATATTGTTAGTATTTTTTAATAGTTCTAGTAATGAGATATCTATATATTTTTCATGAAACAAATTGCATTTTTTGGAGTATTAATAAATTAAGATATACTTGTGGATTGAAAAAAATTATCTCTTCCATGATTAGTATTATAAAATATATGTTTTTGATAATTCCTGCTTGATAAATTTATCTGGGGTACTATTATTTATAAATTTGATAATTTAAAATAAAGTATAAAAAAAACATAGGGTTATTAGAAAAATAATAATAATAAAAGAGTAAAAGTGTGATGTGTGTATGAGGCAGGCATTTGATTCTTTGATGCAGAAGGAAGATACGTTCTGAGGTTTGAGGCATAGACGAGCAGAGGGGTCAGAAGCAGAAGTGCATGTCAACGCTCCTAAACTCCTCACACAGACAACAACTCTGTAACAGTGGTCTTCTGTCTGTCACCCCACCAATAAAGAAGCACACCCAACCCTAGTAAGTAAATATATACAAGTAATTATTAAATATAAAAATAAATAAATAAATATTATTATAAGTTTTTTTTTCTTGGAACTTTATACCGTACTTACGCCATCCGCAATGGCAGAAAAAGCCAACTCTGCTGCTTAACCGTTCACCCCACGCGGCAACTCTCTTCTTTAACTCCCATTTTCTCTCACCTTTCTTAATCCTCTCTCCTCCTATTGAATAACAATATTAATGTTTTCTTTATTTTCCAACACATCCACCCCATTCTTCCCTTTTTAGTTTTCCGGTGGTGCCGTCAGAATGTCATCGTCGGGAACCCACGGCAGTGAGGACGGAAAACGTTACCCTGCTCCACTCGCCCCTCATGACGATGTCGTCAAGGACTCCACTCTCTTCTGGGACACTCTCAGACGCTTTCATTTCATTATGGGTACCAAATTCATGTAAGTTTCTATTTTTCCTGCTTCATTTGATTTTTCAGAGGTTTTTGTTAATAAAAATGTGGTTTTAATTTAACTAGGTTGAGGTTTGATTTCAGCTTGTGTTTTTGTAATATTATTATTATTATTATTATTATTATTATTGATGTAAAGTAAAATAAAATAAAATGTTGGACCTTTTGGGTTGGTCAACTTGTGAAGGATTCCTGTGATTGGAGGGAAGGAGCTGGATTTGCACGTTCTTTACGTGGAAGTTACGAGAAGAAGTGGATACGAGAAGGTGGGTTCCTCCGTACAACCTGTCTATGATGTTCCTAATTTATTTTGAAATTATTCAAGAAATAGAACATTTTTTTTAATTCCCTAAAGTGCAGGTGATTGCAGAGAAGAAGTGGAGGGAAGTTGGTAGTGTTTTTAAGTTCTCAACTACCACCACAAGTGCTTCTTTTGTATTGAAGAAACATTACTTCAGTCTTCTTTATCATTATGAACAAGTTCACTTTTTTAAAGCTCGGGGTGCTGTCTACACTCCATCAACTGGTACCACTTCACTCTTTACAAAAATATTTATTTTAAATTTTTTCAATTTTCGTTTTAATCTGTTTATCAATGAAATTCTTATCATGCAGATGCATTTTCCGGGAACAGTCCTTCATGGAGACCTGAATTAGCTATAGTGGAATATTCGCCTAAGCCCTTAAGTAATAGCCCGGAATCCCGTGTTGAAGGTAATAAACAATTCTCAAGTCAGAAAAAAAAAAAAAATTAACTTCAATTTGTCTAATTTTGGGGTTAGTATTAATTATTACAGCAGAAATTACTTATTGGAATTATCATCTTTGTGGAATGGATTGATTTTCAAATTCATTTATTGATGCCCATGTTCTCTTTAATAAACTCATATGTAGTAGCTAATTAATGAAAATAGGTTTCTCTTGTGTAAGCTAATTAGATAGTTGGTAGCATATTTATGTGACGAGTTCAACACAGGCACAAAAAAAGTGTATGGTGTGTAAATGTAATTTGAAATGATTGATGGTTTGACGAGAAATTGTTGTACAGTAATTTGTAAGTATGCGCTTGTATGTTTTAAGTTTCTGTACTTTCAAAGTGCTTTCAGAGGTGGAATTAAGTGTTTGTTGTGTTGTGTGTAGATACATCATATCTTTCAGGAAATGGAACCATCGAGGGAAAATTTGACTGTGGTTATTTAGTGTCCGTGAAACTGGGGACAGAGGTTCTTAGAGGGGTGCTTTACCATCCAGAAAAAATGGTTGCTCCTTCTTCGGTTCTGCACCATCAGAATGCCATAGTGCCATTCAAAAACAAAGCTCACCGTTCTGGTCGAAGGAGGAGAAACAAAAGAAGGTGGGACCCCAACTATCCGAAGCCGAACAGGAGTGGCTATAACTTCTTCTTTGCTGAAAAACATTACTCTCTCAAGACTCTCTACCCAAACAGAGAAAGAGAGTTTACCAAAATGATTGGCCAGTCATGGAACAGTCTTAGCCCAGAAGAAAGAATGGTCATTGTTTTCTTCCTTACTACTCTTTTGCGTTGTTGATATCTGGTTATCAATGTTGAAGAAGGTACTGGTTTTGATGGAAGCATGATGCAAATTAATAGATTATTGGTTAACAATGTTGCAGGTTTATCAGAACATCGGGTTAAGAGACAAAGAAAGGTACAAGAGAGAATTGACGGAGTACAAAGAGAAGATGAAGCTTAGGCAGAACCCAGAAGTTGGACTTCCATAGAATCTTGTTGGTAACCTTTTGTGGAAACCAAAGAATGGCTTAGAAATCCTTTTTGGACTTTTACCTACACATTATTATCGTTGTGGATAATGGTCTACTGGACTATGGTCTACACAACTATTTTGTTTTATTTTATTTTTTTCTTGTTAGAAAAAGAAAACTAGTGTCGATTGTCAGAGACCCTTTCGTTTCGTTTAATCAATCAAATTATCTTCCTAAATTTGTTCTCTGTGGACTGAATCAAATTAATCAAGTACAGCGTGGTCCACAACAGTCTTATAAAATATTTTATTACTTGCGTATTTTCTTTCTTTTACTCTCACCTTCCTATTCATATTTTATAAAACGATTTTAAAAATATAACGTTTAAAAACATAATCGAGGCTTAAACTTGGCAAATTCCAAATCATAAGAAGTCAGATTGAGTAGTATGTTTTGTAGTTTATAAATACATCAATGGATTTATATTTATTAGTTCAAAGAGGCTAGTGAGATTATTAATACAGACAAGTAAAAAACTCTATCATTAACAGGAATACTTGTTCATAGGTTCGTTGTGAATGATATAAATATAACAATCTTTATTAACAAAATTCATTATGAAATTAGTAAATAAGTTGTCATACAAAACTAAATATGATGGAGATAAGAAGTCCAAATAAATATCAAATTTAATTATTTTTTCGGTGACATTTAGATGTTTTTCATATAGAATACAACGGTACCATTTTTTTTATCAGTGTAGTCTCTTTTGTTCAATAATGTTTTATTCTTCTAAAGTCAACTATTTTGGTCCAAAATATTACTCTGAATTCCTTAATTCAGTACATCGTAGCTGCACAAAAAGCACGAAGTAAATTCTGTAATTGTTTTTATCAAATAAATTCAGTTTTATATATATATGGAAATGTTCTGGCAAAAAATTTAAATAAAACTACAAGATAATAAATAGTCATTATTCATAGAAAAAAAGTAATGACAATATTATTAACTTTTTGTCAATTCAAAAGAAAAATGACCATAAAGATTAAATATTATAAATGAAGTTTCATTAAATCCTAGTTAATCTATAAATATTATTTGATTGATCAAAACCTGAAGTGTAGCTTTTTAAAATGTTAACATTAAAATCATATTATGTGTAAAAAATTAGTAATATCAACTTCGAGTCTCGGATCTTCTTGGGAGATGAGGAGCGTGGCTCCAAAGTTTTATAACTCCCATGTAATTTATGATTTTACTCTCAAACTTAATAAACATTTAATATATTTACTTGTATATTTACTAATTCTATCCTCTCGAGTCCCTCCTTAATTTTGTAACTCTCATGTAATTTATGACTTTGTCACCTCAAACTTAATGATCATTTAATATATTTAAATATATATCTACAATTTTATCCTTTTACTCTTTCATCTTCTTTCTTCCTTTTATATTTATTTATTAATAATATATTATTTTATATTTATTTATTATTTATTATTTATTAATAATATATTATTTAGCCCCCAAGATTAAAGGTCAAGATCCGCCACTCATATCAACACATATCATGAATTTCAAATTAAGAACGCTAATGTTTATATTTTAATTAAAAGTAATATTCGGTGAAAGGAATCTCATTTCACAATACCACAAGCTTTAACAAGGAAAAACAAATTCATGAAGACAAAGCTTTAAATACGAAAGGAATACAAAGCGTTCAGTAACAAGACTATCACTTTAAGGAATAATATATAGGTTTTTCTAATTGTCCAACATACTTTCGGATTCCTATGAATCTACGATGCAAGTTTATTTTAAAATCGTAAAAGTCATAATGAGTCGTATTTTGATTAGTACACTTTTTTTTTTCTTTGGGTGAGCCATTTCACACTCAGCAAGTAACTCATGCACTTGAAATTTGAATTAAATAAACATTAGTTTAATTATAACTAATAATGTATATAATTCAATGTAGATCAATGACATTTAAAAGCATTAATTGATTGTATATCACGAATGACATAAAAATTAAAAAAAAGATACAATAAGAGGAAAAACACGTATACAAGTTACTCCAATAGACAATGGTATGTAGCTCTCTTAAATTTATAAATGAGAAAGAGAGAAAACAAAAGAATAAAGAAAGAAAAAAAAATGGAGAGAGTCCATGATGTGTGGATAAATTAATTTAAGAGAAGAATGATTGGTATTTAAAATTAAATAAGAGAGTAAAATAGTATAAATTTATTTAGTTGTGCCTGACTAAGTTTGAGTGTGATATTATGCTAGTTTATGTGGGATGCGAGAGAAACAAGGGGCGCGAGTGTTTGGTGGGTGGGTGATGCAATCAAAGATTCACATTAATTAACTAATTGTTACAATAAAATAGATTTTTATTGTGTTTATCGCCATTGCTTAATCCATATGGTTAATTCTTGGATGTAATATATTTTATATTATTGTGCTGTGTACAATCCACATCGATCTGGGTTAGCCAATCTCGGGGTGCGCATTACGCTCCTTCATTATTCTTTCATTAATGTTATTTAATAAAACTCACCTAGTGCGAGAGAGTAGGGTACCAGAATGCCATTTTTGTTTCATGCAGATAGCTTTTGATATCGTTTAAACTTTGCTTCTTCTTGTTCATGTCATATTACGATATTACTATATTATTGATTCTTGATTATTGATTATTGAAGTTTGGTCGTTGACTCGGACTCAATAAACATGGGAGACACAGAGTCTTGCAACAGCGGAATTTTGAATTCTGGGTGGAATCATCGATGTCCAAAACAGAGACAGAAGGTTGGAGTTTACACCGAGGTTTTGTGCAGACTTAAGGAATTGAATGTCCCAGAGGCTGTGGTTCCTGGTTTTGAGGACGACCTTTGGGCGCACTTCTATCGCCTTCCCGCAAGGCACAACAAATTCTTCCTTCTTCTTACTTTTTACGATTTCGTTCTTCATTTGTGGAACTGTTAATTTTGGAACATAAATAATGAATGATTTTAGTATGTGATGTTATGTTAGATATGCTTTGGACATGAACATGGAGAGAGCGGAAGAAGTTCTAATGCACAAGAGGTTACTGGACATCGCACGAGCCCCAACTACAGCAACCGGACCTGCAGTTGAAGTCCGTCTTGTGCAGGTCATTCTCCTCAAACCAAGCAAATCATAACAACGTTACCATCATCCAAACACTTTTTTTGTTTTTGTTTTTTCCATTACATTTTTTTATTAATTAAAAACAATTTTTTAAAAACAAAATAACTTAGTTGTATATCATTTTTTATTAAAATTTATTGAAGAATATGTCGATATATATATAACTTTTAAGATTACTTTGACTTCCAATGTTTCCTTACGCCTTCACTACGCTATATGTATACGTAGGACGCACTACTTGCTATTGGAATTAGGCAACATTGTTGGCCAAGGAACCAACGTCACGCTTCCTTTTCTACAAACAGTTTACCTATAAATATATAAATGGATTTTTTTTAATTATATGAATCTTCCCTTCATTATTTATTACTAATCGCCAACACACTGTTTAATTACTAACCAACACCCGTTAAACTTTTATAAATAATTATCCAATGGATATTTTCCTAAATATTTTATTTTTCTTCACCATATTACTGAATATATATAGTAACCAAAATAATATGTTACTTATATTTATTATTTTCTTTTAGCAAAAATATACAAAACTATTAAGTTTTAATTGAATATTTTATAGATGCTGATGCATCTTACCATAATTTGTACTATATGATTACCGTAATTTATAAAAAAATGATTGTTAGTTTCTTAGCGTTTAAAAAGTATGTCCCGTTTAACAATTCCCTATCAACCGTTCAAAAAACATAAAAAATATATATTTTTAGGATTATATATATTTTTAAAATATCTAATTTAGAGTTAAAGAATTAAAAAATATAATTTAATGAAAAATATTAATATATTCCCTTTTAACAATACTTTCACTTAAAAAAAAAAAACTTTCTAAAACCATCTCATTTATTAACCAAATACAAAATATACAAGTTTAATAACTATATACCTGTAGTGTAAATTTTTTTATATATACATTCTCATTCAATAAGAAATCATGGATCATTTATAAATTAAATAAATATTATTACTTTATTATATATGATCATTTATAATTAAATAAATGTAAAATTAATCAGATGTAAGATATTTGTTCAAATATTTATACATAGTAAAATTATCATCTGTACGTAGAACATTAATTTGTCCACTTATATATCAGACATTTGAAACTTTGCTTGCGGTTAATTGCAGATTTGACAATATACGTTTTATGCAGGTTAGTTCTGCTTCTTCTTCTGCTGCTTCTTCTGCTTCTGCTGGTGGTTCTAGTAAATCCCTTCTTTCAAACTCACAAAGTAAAGTTTGTCCTGAAGATTCTGGTATCCCAGGCAACACAAGGCATGATTATGTGAATATTTATTGTTTTTCTTGCAGTAAAGTGAATTCATCGCCTATCTTTTTACGTTTTAATATAAACTTTTCCAACGGTTGCTTTGCCTTTTGTTGTTCATGCTTTCTCAGCTTCCATCCTCCACCGGCCTTCGGTTCGTCATCTAACGTGGAGCTTGCACTTGGCCACACACGGTTCTCGCCAGTCCGAGACAGGGATAACTATTTGAATTTTTATGCACATTATGCTCGGTAAAAGTTCAATCATAATCTATTTATTAGTACTTTTTGCACCAAATTTAGTGTTATTTGTTTAAATTCCCTTTTCTTTCTAATATTATGACTATTTATTAGTACTCTTTGTACCAAATCTAGAGTTCAACCATAATTGTTAGATATAATAAATTTATTAATTTTTACGTTTCATGGCTTGAAACTTTTGTTTCTTACTCTCACTTTTCATTGTACTACTTACGGCAGGCCTATGCATGAAATCACAATTTCAACAAATGACAAGCCAAAACTTCTGAGTCAGGTAGTTAATCTTATTATTGTTGTGCAAATTTTCATAGCTAACGAGAAAAAACCTATGCTTTAAGCCTTTTTTCTATTTTTCTGTTATTTTTTTAGAAATTCTTCTACAATATGGCCCATGAACTATATATGTGTTTGTTTTAACAATCCTATTGGTATAATAATGTTTGATTGGGAAGGGAATGATGAGAATAAAATCGTTCTGACCCAATCCTATGCATAATGCTTATGATGTAATGGCTCCCAGAGTCTCTAATTTTTGTTTTATTGATCTCTTTGTTTTATACAATAATTGATAACAACATCAATAAAATCTTTTCCAACTACACTGAGAGCTACCAAAAATTATTAATATTGTTGAATAATTAGAGAGAATGAACTTATGGATATTAGACTGCTAGTGTTATTAATCTAAGTGTCTGACTTGAGCCTGCTATAGTAATCAACAACGTATAATACAGTGTGCATGTTGTATATATTTTTGACAAACAGGGGAATAGAGATGTACTAATATGCAGCCTCAGTTTTCATTTCTTTTCTTAAATTTGTGCAGAAATCAATGTTTTTATAGTTTAAGCTTTTTGTGTTGAACTACAGTTAACTTCCTTACTTTCTGAGACTGGGTTGGACATTCTAGAAGCACATGCTTTTTCGACAATAGATGGCTATTCATTGGATGTTTTTGTTGTTGGTGGTTGGCCAGTTGAGGTATTTCCCTATTTTTCCGTAGATTGAACTACAATTGTTCATTAATTTTATTTGTAGGTAAATCAACAAGTTTAATTGACATATGTCCATGTTTGAAATTTATAGGGGACGGAGAAGTTAAAACATGAACTAGCAAAGAAAATTCAGAAACTCCAGGTAGGCCTCATTATGTCACTTATGGTTACATATTTACTGGACATGTTTGAAGAACTACTTTTACTAGAAATAATGTTATTTACACATTTTCGTCTACTGTTTCTCTTTTAAATAACAACAAAAGAAATTCTAAAACATTATTTTACCTTCGTTTTTCAATCAAATGTAAAGATTGTGTAACTGATATGCAGGGAAAATATCCTTTTGCTTATTATGAAAAAATATCAGTGGTTCCCCAAACCTCGAAGCGACTGTCTCTTCCCAAAATTTCACATATAGTTTATGGTAACAATTTATTGCCAGTCATAATAGTTCAATGTCCCTAGTTAATGACAAAAGACGATCGTATTTACCCACGTATTAAAAAGTTTTGTGATTATCGCTTCAGTTTGTATAGAAGTTAACTGGTTGAATTGAGAAATATACATACACAAGTGGTAGAATTTTTCATGTTCTTGAGTAATATATAGCGTAACAAAAAATAAGTTTTGCTTGCATCTTCCTTCTCCCACTTTTAAAATAAAGAACCATTTATAAGTTATTCTTTTCGGTAAATCCGGAAGCAACATCAACTGAAAGAAAATGGGAGTCTTACTACTAGTACTACTGCAAAGCAAGTGCAAACTGGGATGAACTTTATCAGGAGAATTGATGCTGGGTGTCTGAGTTACGAAAAGAAAATTGCATCTGGACCTTTCAGTGATTTGTAAGTATTATTATTCCTTCTTCTCGATTTGTTTGTGGATCAGTAAATGCTGAGTAACTGATTAGTTGAAACAGGTATAAAGGTACGTTCTGCAATCAAGATGTAGCTATCAAGGTTCTTAAGCACGAGAATTTGAATGAAAATATACTAAGGGAGTTTGCTCAGGAAGTGTATATCCTAAGGTTCGTTTTATTAACAAATTCCACTCATCTCCCCTTCCACTGAGCCTTTTCTTGTGATTTACTTGATACTTCATGAAGATGATTGCAAACAGGGAATAAAGACTTCTCTAACCATGCAATCAGATTGAATAAAACAATGAAACCATCTTACAGGTTCTTTTCCTAAATTGCATGTTCAAATGGTTATGGTCCACATTAAATATAGTCCAAATGCTTTCTATACTGAAGTTGTAGAGTGAGAAAGAGAAAGGATACACTTAGTCTTTTATTTCTATGAAACCTGCCTATGTTGTGCTTTGTTGCAATTCTTTACATAGTTTGTCTAAACATGGATAAAAGGTGACTAGGTGAGGGTTGTCCTAGGCAGTTAACAATAAATTTAACACTGTCGAATCTATTTAACATGGATCAACGAGTAGCGTTCCCACCTCGTGGAGCAATACTTGATTGTTGTTGTCATTGCTATTCTGTGCAGTTTAAGTCTTCATCTCATTGAGTTAAAGACTGTAGCCAATTCATGGATTTTATAAATTTAATTCTTGCAGTAAAATTGAGCACAAAAATGTTGTCAAATTTGTTGGCGCTTGTACAAAACCCCCAAACCTTTACCTTGTCACAGGTAAAACTTGTCCTTGTTACTTTTTTCTTATTGATTGGAAGATCAGTGTAATGGAAAAAAGATTCAATTCATATGTTTTCTTTTCACAGAATACATGCCCGGTGGAAGTATGTTCGACTTTTTGCATAAACAGAAGACCACCCTTGCTCTTCCATCTTTACTCAAAGTGGCCATTGATGTTTGCGAAGGAATGAAATATTTGCATCAGAATAATATCATACATCGGGACCTTAAAGCGGCTAATCTTTTGATAGATGAGAATGGGGTTAGTTTACAATGTAAATTTACTTTTTTGACTTTATTGGCTATAGCTTCTTTGTTAATGCTGAACATATCATTTTTCTGTGCTACATATGTTTTCATCTTTACTTAATACCATTTTACAGCCTTATGGCTTGGGGGAATTTATGAATTTCTGTCTGTATTTTAAATTATTTGTCCAATAGGTGGTTAAGGTTGCCGATTTTGGTGTAGCTAGAATGCACAATCAGTCTGGTATCATGACTGCAGAAACAGGAACTTATCGGTGGATGGCTCCAGAGGTTTGTGTTTTATTAATGAATATAGTCATAGGGTTGATCACTAAATTTATTAATTGTATAACTTACCGACAGGCATGCATGGGGCTGTTTAAGGACACTATAGGCAGCAGTTTGTGATGTAATAAGATGAATCTAGACAGGTTGGAATGAGAATGATGGTTTTTTTCTGATGAACAATACTTATTAATGCTAACATGATTTTTATTTAGTACTGCTTTTGGTTGCTCATGCACTTTGCAGATGGATAGTAGTAATTTTCTCTCCAATTTTGTAAAACTCTTATCCAAAAGAAAAATGTTGTATAACAATCTCCAATAAAAGACAATGGTAGGCTATTGCTCTCAATTTACCTCTCCGTTGGCCGAAACCAAAACTAACTCTGGTTTTCCCTATAGAAGCTTTAATTGGTTATGTAAGACAACTAAAAAAATTGATATTTCCTGCCTTCTACTTCTTCCTGTATTGACTATAATATAATTAAACTTGTTATTCCCTTGACATATGGAAGGTCATTGAACATAAACCATATGATCACAAAGCCGATGTCTTTAGCTTTGCCGTTGTTCTTTGGGAGCTGCTCACAGGAAAGGTAATTTGCACTGTGCCTTTATTTCTCCTTTTTGACTTTCTCTTTCTTGACCTCCGTAGAACCAAGAATCGAACTCTCCTTCTCTTGTCCAGTCGAAAAATGAATTTACTTTCTCTGCTTTTATAGGCAACACTGTATCAGTTTTAGTTGGGACTACACTAATAGTGATTAGGAATTTTACATGCATGACTTTTGTCCTTTTTCAATAAGTTCCCCTTGACAGTCACTGCATCCTCAACAGTAGCTGGATTATTTCCTGAAACTGAAGCAGCAATAATCAGAAGTTTCTACAATGAGTCATGTAGGGTTAATGGATAATGTACAAACTCTGGTATAGGCAAGAATAAAAGTGAGTAACAATGTATTTAACAGAAATGGAGAATAAAAGAGTTAGTAGGTATGCTTTAGACAAATTATTTTTGTGAATTTTCATTCAATATTATTGTAGTTGCTCAGAATTCGCATCTTTCTTCTATGTTTTATGACTGAACCACAGCTTCCTTACGAGAATTTGTCCCCATTGCAAGCAGCAGTAGGAGTGATCCAAAAGGTATTTCCTTAACTAGAAATTATATAAGCAGTGTCAGTGGACAAAAACAGATGTTTTGAATGATGACGGTTATGAATAAAGAGAATTTGTTGGATAATGTGCAAGAAATTTACTAACTTGAAAACTTCATATATAGTATCTTATTATTAAGCTACCAAGCCACAAAATATTATGAAATTGAGTCAGCTTTGCGGATATGAATTGCAGGGTTTAAGGCCTAAGATTCCAAGTCATGCTCATCCAAAGTTAGTGGAATTGCTTCACTGGTGCTGGCACCACGATTCATCTTTGAGACCCAATTTCTCAGAAATTCTGGAATTTCTGCTCCGTGTGACCAAGACGGTATGTCTAGGGGATTCTTGTTACATTCAAAAGAAAAATTGAAGCCTCTACAATAATACTTTTTCTTCGGCCATACTTAAATGATTCCTGAACAGGTTACGGGGGAATGTGAAGGCTAAATGCATGCGTGAAAATGAATATTCACCGAGGAATCAGTTAGGATGGTAAGAGGCTAAGTACACATCTGCATGTGGGATATCTCAATTTAGAAGTAAAGGTTCGTGATTAGCCTTTGGCGAGATGTATATATAATCTTGGATGTGCAGCTATTTCTCATTAAAACAAGCATAGTTATTAATGATACGAAGACGATCCACATGTGAGGTAGTTGTTAGGCAAAAAAACATAAGTGGACTTCAGTTGTAAATATTAAATATTTATACTCGGTCATATATATAGATAAGTTATGTTTGATTTTTCACAACAAACATTATAAATAAATAAAAATTCAAGAAAAATAATACTAAAAATTTTATTATATATATATATATATATATATATATATATATATATATATATATATATATATATATATATATATATATATATATATATATATATAAGCAAAATGTTCATTCTTTTAATGAAGAAATAATAATAATATATTTTAACACATTTTTTATTTATCAATTAAACATTATCAAAAACTATAAAATAATTATTGAAATTCAATAAATAAGTGGAACCTACAAAATTTTCTGATTTAAATTTTTTTAACCAATTGTAAGTTTTGTTCAAATGAGAATAATAAAAATTACGGTAGTCTAATCAAAGGTTTGAATTCCCTATTCTTAAAATGAGAGGTTGAAATCATTCTGACAGTAATCGAATTTGATTTTCTATTGTAGTAATAATTGGTATATATATATATATATATATATATATATATATATATATATATATATATATATATATATATATATATATATATTCTAAAATGATAGTTAAATTATAAAAAAAAATTAAAAAAATCTGTAAATATTAATGTAATAAGTAAGCGGATATTATAATATTATATCCACACCCTCTCATTAAAATTTGTTCTTATCCTTCCTATTACAATATATAACGATAATCAATGAAGACAATATTTAGTTCAACACTGCATAGTGAATGTATGATATTTAAAAAAATATTTTAAAAGAAAAATCCAGTTTAAATATAGTATAATGAATCATTGGATTTAATTTTAAAAAATAGATAATTTAATTTAAATTAATTAAAATTGAGTTGATCTTTTACCTTTACTTGAGATATGATCAGTTTTTCTATCTTTATTTTATAATAAACTACACTTTATTTATAATTCGTAAATAAATGAAATCTTAGTAATATAGAGTTTCCAAACTAAGAAAGATACAAATATTGATAGTTAATAGATATATTATAAGGTTAGAAAAATGGTTATTTCAAACTTAGAATGATTTACTCTTACATTAGTTAATTTTAAAAAATAAATACAGGCTAGTTTTCAATCAAGGAATAATAGTCATAAAAGTAAAAACAAAAAAAATCATATATATATAATAAATGTAAATAGTTTATAGTGTAAAGATTTTTTATATTATTGTTTATTTATAACATATACGGTAAGCTTAAGGATTTTATAATAATTTTGAATGTGTATGCTTTAGTTTGGTTAAATTCAATTTTAAATATAATGGTAAATATTAATCTGAATTGAACAAAAAATTAGAATTATTTTTTAATAATTAGTTTATTCAATATTCAAAATTTTCAAATCCTTTTAGGAATTTTCAACAACCCATACCCATTCTTTATGATATTTGAAATTCATGACTAAAATTATGTGCGTTTCGCATTGTTAAAAAACAAAAGAGAAAGAACATACAATAGGAAAAGTGGATGTAATGGATCATATCACAACATTGATAAAAAAATGAAAATGAAAGAACATGTAACAGTAAAAAAGTGCATGTGATGGAGCATTACCACAACTTAATGCATAATTCTAAACACTTTATTCTTTTTAACCTTTATTGCATGTTGCAAGCGATTATTCGTCACTTTCTACGGATTGATATACTTTGGCATCCAAAAAGAGGCTCAGAGGTCGTGTTTAAAATATTCACAGTTTTTATTCCTACAATTTCTTTCTAATGAAGATGGATATAAAAAAGAAAATAAAATATTGCAATATGGGACCTATAACCAGTAGAAAAATATAATAAAAAAATCATTTTATAAAATATTCTTAAAATAGTTATATATATATATATATATATATATATATATATATATATATATATATACATTAACAACTATACATACATTAGAATATAATATTAAATATTAATTTTTTGTCAATGATTATTTTTTAAAATTTTCATTCTAAAATAAATTAAACTTATTTTATGAAAAGGCTAACAACAAACTATTTTAAACACTCCTTTATTGGATGAAAATTTTAATATTATATATTTATATGGATCATAATTTTTATTCAATATCTTCTACTTTAAAAATAATTGTATTTAAAAGTGTATACTAGCCTCTTATTTTGAGAGTCTATATATTAGTTGCGTAATTATTCAATTACGGATTATTATATAAGATTGTTATAGCAAGTGTTTTTTACTTCATAACTTTTTTTACACTGAAGAAACTCCTATTCTTTGTATTGCTTTCTTATCTCTCATTTCTTTTTCCAATATAAAATATTATGAAAATTTTATGTGCATTTTTGGCCGAGTTTTTCTGAGTCTCCCACTACATAAAGAAAACGGGCGTAAGGGTCTAATCTGTGGCATAAGAGAGAATCTAATGAACCAAAGAGAGGAAGTTGTGCTTGATTTCCAAGGTAACTATGGCCGCAGCAACAGCAAAGAAGAAAATTTAGCATCAAAAGCTATTGTCAACAGGCCAAGTGACAAGCTTCAGGACTCGCAGGAAAATCCCAAAGGTAGTGAATCAACAAAAAAGAGGAAGCAAGATCAGCATGAAAACCACCACCTCCAAACTTCATATTCAGAAGAAAACGTTGTGCGGTCCACTTCAAACATTTCAACTCCGCGATACTCGTGGAAATCATCAATAAGAAGAACAAAGTCTCGGTTGATAGACCCTCCAGAGGAATCATACACAAATTCAGAGTCGGGTGAACAAAAATTACCAGAAAATTATGAGAGTGTTGAGGACATGCCAGAAATTTACAAGAAAACGAGGCTCAGTGCTTTCTCAATACTTCAGTGGCTATGTCTCGCTTCAATAATCGTAGCCTTGCTTTCTAACCTTTGGATTTCATGCTTACAAAAACTCAAGCTCTGTGGTCTTCCCCTGTGGGAATGGGAGACAATGATTTTAGTTCTAATTTGTGGGCGTTTGCTCGCAGGTTGGATAATCAAACTAATCGTGTTCTTCGTGGAACGCAATTTTATACTAAGAAAACGGGTGCTTTATTTTGTGTACGGTTTGAGAAACTCCGTGAAAAACTGCGTCTGGTTGGGCCTTGTTCTGCTCGTGTGGCATTTTATTTTGGTCAAGGCGGTGGAGAAAAAAGTCAACGACCGGATTTTGTCGTATGTGACAAAGGTTGTGGTGTGTCTGTTCGTCGGCACTGTCATGTGGCTTCTTAAAACGATCCTCGTCAAGGTCTTCGCCTTGCACTTCCACGTGAAAACGTTCTTCGAACGGGTTCGGGAGGCTCTGTTCAGCCAATACGTGATCGAAACGCTGTCGTGTGATCGGTTGAGGGAAGAGGATGGAGGTGAAGATAGATCCGTTGGGAGGGTGTTGTGTAGTAACAAGAAGCAAGATGAGGAAATGTCGATTGAACAATTGCATAGGTTGAATAAGAGAAATATATCTGCGTGGAATATGAAGAGAATGATTAACATCGTCATGCATGGGGCGTTCACTACGTTGGACGAACGTATATCGTGTTCGGATATCGAGGATGAGCCTTTGCTTCAACTTAGAAGCGAATGCCAAGCAAAGATCGCGGCTCAGAAAATTTTTCAAAACGTGGTGCAGCCAGGATCCCAGTAAGGCTTCTTAATTATATATGTGTCTCATCTTCTTTTCTTTATCAACTTTGTTGATCTTGGTTCTTGTTTAGTAAGTCTCGTTCTTAGTTTTCAAGTTTTTCGTAAATTTTAATTTGTAATAGAAGGTCCATAAGGAGTTTATCAGAGAAAATATTGGTAAAAACACTCTTTGGTTTATTATTACAACTGAAAATGAAAACTCTGCAATCGCGACAGATGTATTTTCTTGCAAGACGTGATGCAGTTTATGCCAAGAGATGAGGCTTTGAAGTCAATGGATCTGTTGGGAGCAGCATGTATAGACCAGGGGATTAGCATGTCTTCTCTTAGAGAGTGGATGGTAATGAACTTGATTGTTGTTTTTATGGTGGAAACAATTTTTAATGGCAAAAATAAAGTTATATTGATTTTTTTTTTTGTAATTTAATGGACATATGTTGAAATACACTGACTGCAATGTTATACTGATATCCAATCTGTAAAGATAAGTTAGATGTTTTTTACAATAACAATGATTTGTTATTTTAAAGATGATTCTTCGGTTTAGGTGCATGCATTCAGGGAGAGAAGGACACTAGCACTATCACTCAAAGACACAAAAACTGCTGTGGATGATCTCCATAATCTGTTGAACATTATTGTTGGTTTTGTCATTTTGATAGTCTGGCTTGTCATACTTGGAACTCCAATCTTACACTTCCTTGTCTTCATGGGATCCCAGCTTCTGTTGGCAGTGTTTGTGTTTGGGAATTCTTGTAGAACTGTTTTTGAAGCAATCATCTTCTTATTTGTAATGCACCCATTTGATGTTGGCGATCTATGTGAAGTAGATGGAGTCCAGGTACAACAATTCCAAGTTTAATTTGCACACAGCAAGTATATTAATATCTAATCGTCTTGTTTGGTTCTTAGATGGTGGTTGAAGAGATGAATATACTCACAACAGTGTTTCTGAAGTACGATAACCAAAAGGTTACATACCCAAACAGTGTTCTAGCTACCAAGCTGATAGGGAATTATCAACGTAGTCCACACATGGGAGATGCAGTGGATTTCTGTATTCATATCTCCACTCCATTGGATAAAGTTGCAACTATGAAAAGAAGAATTATAGAGTACGTGAAGTAAATTTATTTCACTGCTACATAAAAAAAGATGTAGACTTATGGAATGGAGGAACATTTATTGTTGCATGTGTTTGAAAATTGTAGGTATATTGAAAGGAAGAATGAGCACTGGCATGTGGCACCAATGGTGGTGATGAAGGATGTGGAAGAGTTGAACAAAGTGAACATGTCAGTGTGGCTAACGCATAAAATGAATTTTCAGGACATGAAAGAAAGATGGAACAGGAAGGCACAGTTGATTGAAGAGATGATGAAAGTGTGGAAGGAGCTTGATGTTGAATACAGGCTTCTCCCTATTCATGTCAATGTTAGAAATCAACCTCCTCTGCTTTCCAACAAGCTTCCATCCAATTGGGAAACTTGTGCCACCTCTGTGTCTTAGTCTGGTTTTATTCAATTCTCAGTGTGTGGTTTTATGCACTTCGGAACAACTTAACCAGTTATAGCTGTTTTTTTTTTTCGTTTATGGATGTAATCTTGTTTTATCATTAATAAGTGATTCAAGTATACTTGTAGTTTCAATCAATATGTAATATAATTTATAAAAAATAATATCACATAATTATATGTAATATAATTCGAAATCACTTAATATCCATATAATTACCTCACAATTGTGACACTAAATAAACACACACATTAAGAACAATTCCAACCATGTAAAAAAATTAATTAACCTATGTAATATAATTCTCAATCACTTAAAAAAAACACTATTGACTTGTAGTTGAGAATAATCGCTTTTAAACTAGATTTTTAAACATACACATGGACCATTACTAACTTTTGTATAGTAAATTTAAAATAAATATACAAGAGAATTAAAAAAAAAAAACAGAATATTTATATACTACTATAATTTCGAGTAAAAATAATAATGAATAAAATGTGAAGAATATGAATATTACAGTATATGAAAAAACTAATAAAATTTCCTCTGAAAAAATTATTTTTCTACAGAAACAACTCACCGTTTCAGTGTCGGAAAATTTTTAATTTAATAGGTTTTAATAAAAGTATGCTTCTTAATTTATTTATGTAGTAGGTTGGTTGACTTTGTACTAACATATTTATTCTAAAATAATTATGTTGTCAATACATTTATATATAAAAAATAATTTCCCCCATTTAATGCGTAAAATTGATTATATAATTCAAATATTAATATGAAATAAAAATAAATAAATTACAGATAAAAATCAAATAATTTTCTTTTATCTCTGCACTGATATAGACATAACGGGATCTTTTGTAACAAAAACTTTACTCTAATTTTAAAAAAATGATATTGTTAACTTTTAATAAAAATTAAAACAATTTTTCAACTGACTAAATCTTTTTTCTAACTTCAGGGTTAAATTATTTAATTTGGTGTCCATAGCTACAACACTGTATTGAGAAAAGTAACGGGGATGGCCCGTTTCTTAATTCAAATCTAAAACGTAATTGGGCTAGATGACTTCGATTAAGTTAAAGCCCATTTATTGATCTTACAAAAAAAAAACAGTACTGTGCAAAAAAACCCATTTTTTCTTATGAGCGATTAGGGTTTTACTTTCTATATCCTTTAAAACTCATCCTACATCTTTTCTTTTTCTAATTTTCAAAATTCTTAAACTGACCTTATTCATGTACTCGTTATTCATTTTTTTTTGTATACTCTTATTTTTTAATTAGCAATTTTATGATGATATTTTACAATGTTAAGAGGAGTTATTTTAGAACGTGGTCTTCCAAAACATTTATATATATATATATATATATATATATATATATATATATATATATATATATATATATATATATATATTCAGAATGTCTACTCTATGGTTTATCCCCAAAAAAAATCAAAAATATATTTTCAAAAATTTTATAAATATATATTATTTTTATATAACAGTTATTCTGCAATTAAAATAGTATACTTTTGAAGCATGTGACGTGCAACAAATAAAAATCATATTAAACTTTTAAATGATAAAAAAAATGTAAATTGAGTTTAATATAATGTAAAAAGAAACACTGAAAGTACCTACCAAGAATTAAGAGCCCATCAATACATTGTAATTAGACTGGTACTTGCGTCAGAACTATTAAATTTTGATAAACATGTATTTATTTATTTTAAAGATAAGTAGAGTTTTTTCTTTTTCTTTAAAAACAAAAATGGCAATTTTTTTTAACTTAGTTTAGAGTATATTTAGTTTTTTTTAACAAAATTTAAAGAATAATTAATATATATATGCATAAATTAATTTATAGAAACTCTTTTATATATTTTTTATTTTTTTTTTAACTTATATATAGTAGAATTCCAACTTATACTAAATTAATCTTATTGTTTTTCATATATTTTTTTCATCTATAAATATTTATGAAAAGGTATGTGAAAACAAGTTCTTCCATATTTCTTTCATTATTAGTCCAGTGCTAATAGATTTAGTTGTAATTTTTGTTTATTAAGATTATTTAAAATAAAAAATATAGTGTAATTTTAGTTTTCCATAGAAATAAATGATGTATTAGTAATTTATAAAATGGATTATTTTATTTTCCATTTACAAAATATGTTAGATGTGATTCTTGATTTTATTAAACAAAAAAAAAAATCTTTCTCTTTTACTTTTATTTGTATGAATAAAATCACATATAAGGTACTTTTGTATACATTATAAAGACTTAAAAAAAATATTATCTTATTAAAATAAATTTAACATATATTTAACTTCTCATAACATTTATGAACTCTTACTTCTCGAATCTCCAAATACGTTATCATTGGTTTGATAAATTACAGAATGATTCGGAGTGATACTCGGAATCCTTCTGTGTTTCCCCAAAAAATTATCTTATAACGATGAATTGGTATTATTAGCTTATTCTTTATGGGTTAAAATTAAATTAGTGTCAAAAGAGATATCTCTATTTAAATATTTTTTAATGAATCTAGATAAATTATTAATCCCTTTTAATATAATTTAAATAAAATAATATTATCTGCTCTTTAAATAACAATAAAACATATAATAAAATATTTGAATAGTACATTATTTTATTGTATCACGATATCAGATAAGTTGGGAACGATGTATTTAGCCTAAATGATTCACAAGGTTCGGTTTACTAAGCTGCGTGGAAAGACTAAGCTTCTTTTCGTAAAAAAATCGACATCATTAACAATAAAAAAATATATTTGAGATCATTAGCACCAGTGATGAATATTGGACGTTGAGCGGTAATAATATAATTATATATATATATTATTTTTATTTTAATAATTATTAAACATTTGTTAATATATTTTTTTTGTTAATCATATATTATTTGATTTCAAAACTATGATTAAGATCCAATAATTATGCTATAATTATTTTGACGCATTATTAATATAAATGTGTCTACGCTGTTTATTAATTGAAAACACCTGAATATAAATTTTCAATTGATTATTATAAAGTTATAATCTTAAAATAATATTAGTAACATGTTTTCTCATAAAAATTTGAGTATATATTAAAGTTTTTATTAAAAATTACAAAATCTGATACAATAGTTATACTTGGCCCATTTTCAAATTCATACATTTACGTAACAAAAATATTTTTATATCATTATAATAATAAATAATTATTTTACTTAAGTATTTTATTAATAATCAATAATAAATAGATTGAATTTATTATTTAAAATATCCTAATAAAATATCTATAAATATAAATTTTATTATTTATAAATAATCTTATTTTTATTTTAAAAATTTAATTATTATTAATATTTTGTTTACCCTAACTTAAAAATCGAATTATTTTTATAGAATTATTCTAACTTATTTTGAATGCTTTTAAAGGAAAGTTATATGTGGCTTCTGTCATCTAAGTTTTTGTATACACGATTAATAATTTGGAGTAGAAAGTAATAATTTTACAAAATGTATCTTATTATTAATATTGCATTAAAAAGCAAAATTAATTAATATGTTACTGAAAATTAAAAAAAAAACATTTTTGGAAAGTTTTTTTTGTTGGTTGAACGTCTTATTACAGATGAGTGAAAAATGACAGTAAGAAATTTTCTGGTTCTCAACCAATTATAAATAAAAACAAATAAATAATTTATTTAAAAACTTGCACTTAAATGTATATTATTAATGTGTTCAATATGATAATTTTTAATTAAATAATAATATTACAAAATATATAACTTACATAAAATTTAATAAATGTAAGTTTATAATTAAAACTAAAGTTACAGTTCTGCAATGACAACAAAAAAACTACATTAAATGGATAATAATAAATTTGTAAATTGGGACAGTATATAACATTACAAAGTCAATGGTGCTATTATGTGTAATAACAATTCTCAATTATTCAATCAAACTAACTATATTTTATGACAAAACGTATTATATTATTCTCGTGTTTGGCAAGGACCTAATCTGTTAAAAAAATAATAAATAAATATGTTCATAATATGATAAAATAAACAAATAAATAATATTGATGATTTAACTAACGGGAATACCACAATTAGTATGTTATAGTTTAACAATTATTTAGTTTAAAGTCAGTGTGTTAGTAGCAAATCGAGAAAAGCGATCGAAATTGAAGGGAAGAAATATGACTCGATAAGATAAACAGAAGTTCATTCGATGTCTAATTAGAAATACGTAGCATATAGCATCGAGAAACACAATCGAGAATCGAATGAATTGTAATCAAATGACTGTTGTCAAATAAAAACTAAGTCATATAAGATCAGGATTAAAAAGGAATCGTGAGCAATTCGAAGTTCTCGAAAGATATAGAATCGAGAATAAAGAAAGCCAATGGGGACATCGAGATTTTGGCCAAATCGTGAAGGGAAGTAAGTCGAATGCACGTATAGAGAGCGGTTTTGAAATCATGGGTAAAAGTTGGAGATCGTGAGATCGTGGGAAACTAGAAGATAAAGCTGCCATACGCACGTAGAACGTGGTAGCGATCGTATTAGCTGCTCTTAGAAGGCTTGAAGGATGCCCTATAAATAGAGCAAAGAAGGAAGGAACAAGGGGAGCAAAAATTGGCGGAGCGCGGAATCGGCGGTGAAAACGTCTACGGAGGAACGATGAACACCATGAAGTTTACGGCAATCTGGATTTCCTCGCTCACGGAGTACATTTATCGCTTTCTTTATTTTCCTTGGTAATTTACTTTCGAGCCATTTCAATTCAGCAATTTCATATTCTTGTATACTACATTCAATGTCATTTCGATTTCTGTTATTTACTTTTTATGCAATCTTAATGGGTTTTAGCAATTTACATTTCCGCACATTTCGATTTCTGTCCTTTATTTCTCTTGCAAACTTAATTTCTTGCAAATTTGGGGTTTTCGCATTTTC